CCAGGGAATTCCGTTGTAGGGTGAGTCGATCTGCTAAGTGAGAATCTGCCCTAGAAACTGCTTTCCCGTGTGTCCTGACTAGCTTGGATGAGACTGAACTTTTCTCCCCTTCAAACTGCCTTCAGTAAATGATTTCAGTATATTGAGGCAGTTTCGCTTATCTCACAGGAACCTAGCTGGTCTTAAGTACGCAGATCCCAGGTGCTAAGCCAGGCCTGATCTTGGGGATGTAGATGCCTGGCTCCAGGCAGGCTGATCTTGGAGATGTAGATTCCAAGCTCTAGCAGACTGGTCTTTGATGTGCTAATCCAAGTGCTTGTAGTTTGTAAAAGGTGAGGCCAGGATTACTGGCCTGTGGATATAAAGAAACAATTTATGTTTTGCCGCCTCAATGTTCTTTCTGTAACTCCTTTTGATGATATCACTATACTCCCCCCTTTAGAGGTACCATGCTCTATATAAGGGAGATTTCAGGGCTCTCTAAAAAACACATGCGTCAGAGAACCTGGGAAGATGGGGCTGAGGACAGAAGCTGAGAGAACGAGGGAACACGTGCTTGAGATCTCCTGAGGTCTCCATGACATACATTTCTTCCATGTAATAAACTGCTACTAAGACCAACCAGCTTGGCCCCCGTTTCCTTCCTTTGCCTGACCATCGCCATCGACCTCCCTGGACTGGGGAAATGGTCGAATGCGGGTGGCGGGAGAGATAGGCCGCTCCCGTCCCCTTTGCCCATCCCTTTTTGTGTGTTTACACAGAAAAGAGCCGGATTCTGACTGCCAAGCCACCCCTCCCACCCCCAAGTTACTGAGAACAGCGGAGTCCTTTCTCTTTTCAAACGCATGGGGTGAGGCAGTTAAAAAAAAAAACAGGAGCTGAAATGAGAGACAAGGGGACCCAGAAGTTGGCCGGGGACAAGCAGCACCATCGGTACCCAAATTTGGAGGGCGGGAAAAGTTCCGGCAGTGGAGAGAAGACAGAGTCCGGGACAATGGTCTGGGGCAGAGGCAGGACAGCGCCGCTAGAGCAGAATTAAAGAGCAGCAATGGGACACGAGGAGGCGCCGACATCAGCAGAACTGGCCTCCGGAGCCCAGTCAACAGAGTGAGAAAACGATGGCCATGATAAAAGCGTCCCTGAAACAGGTGAGAGCCGGCTCTGGAGGGGAAACAGAGGCTGACGATTAGGTTCAGGAGGGCTGGCCAGGCACCAGGAACCGTCTGGCTCTGAAGAGGGAGCAGCCTCTCCCAGGAAGGGGAGCACCGGCATGCCCCGGCTTCCTCCGTGGAACAGCCCTGGGAGCGCTGGGGGCAGAGAGAAGCCGCTGCCGACAGACGCCAGCGAACAAGACGGCATCAGGATTGGCGAAGAACTGGCACAGGGTTCACGCCCAAGCCCTGCAGAGCACCAGCACGACCGAGCTGCGAAGAAACAGAACAGCCCAAACAGAACAGGGAGATAAGCCGGCCAGACACCTCCTCAGAGACAGACGGTGGGTGCATGGGGAAAGGCCCCGCAGGCTGGTCACCCAGGAAACGGGAATCCAACAGCTGTGAGCATCACCTCACCCCTCGGTGAGGCACATCGAAAGGAACGAAAACCACCAGTGTAGGCGTGGATGTGGGGGAAAGGGACCTTCAACCGCTGCTGGTGCGAACGTCGGGTGATTAACCTTGGAAAACAACACGAACACGTCTCCAAACCCCAGGAAGTGAGGCGGTTAGCACAGAGGGACAGCACCTGCTCTGCCCGTGGCCAACCCAGACTGACCCCCTGCATCGTATATGCTGCTCTGACCACTGAGAGGAGTGACCTCTGAGCACAGAGCCAGGAGTAATCCCTGAGCACTGATGGGTGTGACCCCCCCAAAATGAAAATTTCAGGAAATTGGGCTTCCATATGATTCACAATTCCACTTCTCAGCATCTATCCTACCCCCAAGTCCCCAAAACACTATTCTGAAAATCCATCTGCACCCCTATGATCACTGCAGCACTATTCACAATAGCCAATACCTAGAAACACCTCAAGTGTCCAGGAGCAGCTGACTGGATATTACACACACACATAAACACACACACACACACACACACAGAGAAATACTAACTACTCAGCTATAAGAACAAAATCATACAACATGCCACAGCATGGACCAATCTGGAGTCTTGTGCTGCGTGAAGCCGGCCAAGGAGAGGGCCAGACAGACTGATCTCTCAGACAGGGAAATAAGAAACATCGTATGGGAATAACAAACAGCCAGGGACAACAGAACCTGAGAACTGGTCTTACAAGGGAGAGGGGCGGGGGTTACCGGAAGGGACCCTGGGACAATGGTTGGGGGAGGAGGCTCCCTGGTGGAGGTGTGGCATGTGAAAGCTGTACACATGAAACCCTATGACTGACAACGCCTCAAATGAGAAAAAGTGAAATAAAAAGTATCACTGTATCACTGTCATCCTGTTACTGTCAATTTACTCAAGCGGGCACCAGTAAGTAAAGTCTCTATTCATCTGAGCCCTGAGATTTTAGCTGCCTCTCCTTCCTCATCTTTTCCAACGACTGGAGGCTCTTTCAGAGTCAGGGGAATGAGACCTGTTGTCGTTACTGGTTTTGGCATATCGAGTATGCAGAGTCCAGTGGCATGGTTTTGGAGGCCGCATTTTATACTCCCATCTGGGAGGAACAGCCATGAGTTCTGGAGGGTGGCGGATCAGATTATCTGGTGCCAGCAGGGTATGGCTTATGAGTGTGATCCCCGAGTCACCGGAGACTGGGGGAAGCAGGCAGAGGATCTCCGTTCCCCGTCCCGTTGAGTCCAGAGTCCAAGGTCACAAAGTTCTGCATTGCCTGCGTTCCGTGGGACTTCATTCCTGCGTGAGGCACGGCTCCAGTGTCAGGAAAGTGGCCTGGAGCGTGGCGGCGGTTGGGTAGTGGAGGTCGGCTGCGGGTGTTGGGTCCCTTGGGGCGGGGAGGGCTCTTCTCCCAAGGGACCCAGTTGTTTCGGAAAAAAGAACTCTCTAGAGCTTGGGAGATGGTTCTGTGACGAAGTGTCTGCCTCACAAGCATGAGGGCGTGAGTGTGATCCCAGGTGTCCCGCACAGTGGCCCCACTCTCTGGGTCCCTGAGACCACTGCGGAGTGGCCTTCATTAGCTCAAGTCCTCGTGTCCCTCGTTTAATCTAAGTTACGTCCCAGGAGGCCCTGTCCGAGTCGGCCCCAGGGGCATGCCACTTCCCCAGAAGCACGGAGATCATGCTGTGTGGGCGTTGGTGCTCTTCCCTCTCAGGCGCAGAGCAAGAGTTTCTGGTGGGTCTGTGTGTCTCTGCCGCCTCCCCGCACTCACTGCTAGGACATCAGGCTGCCCTGGGGCCCAGCACCCTCTGCCTGTCACGCCACATCTGGGCACTCTCGGTCAGTGCGAGCCACAGGACACCGCTCCCCTGGCCACTGTGGCCAGATGCCGCTCCAGGGGCCTCCGGCCAGAAGCCTGCCCTGTGTGCCCCCTTCCTAGGTGTCTGCTGTGCTTCCCCTGCACCCCCCCCCCCCCGAGAAGCCTCCACTCTGGTGATGACCACTCCTCGGCCTGCAGGTGGCCACCTCAGATGCCAGGTTGCTTGAAAGTCCTTCCTTGTGCCAGAGTGACAGGACGGCGGGCAGGGCGCTTGTATTACATGCGGCAGACCAGGGTTCAATCCCCGGCACCCCATATGGTCCCCTGAGTCCTGCCAGGAGGAACCCCAGAGCACAGAACCAGGAGTCAGCCCAGGTACTGCCAGGTGTGGCCCCCAAACAAACACAAAGTCCTTCCTGTGCCCCATGAGACTCAGCCAGGACCCCCCAGCATCCCCTGCCGGATGCCTCGCTGTGTGGCACTGAGGTCACTGCTCCCACTGCCCGCAGTTGTCCCTCAGGGCAGGAGGCCAGCGGCGGGGCGAGGACACGGGGGAGCAGCCCAGAGGGAAAAACCATGCTCGCTTCATCAGCATTTCCGGGGAGAGTGATCCCCGCCCGATGGTTCAACGGAACTTGACTCCTTCAACAGTCGCTGTATTTTAACACTCACAACAGCGAAGATGACAACGCAACTGAACGTGCCTTGGGATGCGCCAGCTCGTCGGCAGAGCGGGGTCTGTGAACCCTAACACGTGGTGGGAACCCGGCAGGAAGTGGCATGGAACCTGGCACCCCAGCCTCCCCTCGCTGGAAGGGACCCCCTGAGGGAGAGCACAGAACAGCGGAGGCAAAGTCATGTCCCCGGTAGAGTCACAGCACCTGGAAACAGTCCTGCAGATGGCGCCCGCCCAGCAGTGGCCAAGCCAAGGAGCACCAGGCACTGACGGACACCGAGGTCTGACAGGCGCCAAGACGGGGCGACCAGCGATTGCAGTGGAGGGAATCAGCCTATGAGCCCCACATCGTTTAAAGTGCATTTACCACGGGTGTGTATCTGAGGATGGGAGGAACTGATTCTTCCAAAGGAGTATGGATGGCCTAGTGGAGACTCAGATGGTTCAGGAGAAACTGACCCAGATATATATATATATATATATATATATATATATATATATATATATATCTTTTAAAGGCAAAGGCTCTCAAGGCCAAGGACACCATCGAGGAAAACCTTATAAATGCCAGATATGGGCAAATAAGAAATCTGGCTCCAGTTTAGAACTAAGGATTTGGGCCTGTTCAGAACTGCACCTTTCACAAAGACATTGACGAGAACACGGCCCCAGGGTACTCAGGCCAGCAGGCGTACGGAGACTGGCCACCCCACTCCAGCCACACAATGCAGTCACTCTGATCCCCGGGACGCAGCCCTGGCAGTACCTGGTGTACCCCATAGCCAAGGGTGCAACGTAGCCACCCGAGATGGGACCCCCCCCATCCCACCACCACCTGGGGCACGACCACCATGTGGGGGTCTTGGGCAACGCCACAGAGGTGCCCCTCCCGACTCCTCGCCCTCTGAGACCGCGAGAAGCCGGTACTCACGCTGCAGGGGTTGCTGGCGGGCGTCTGGGCGGGACTGTAGAAGGACCCCCACTGGGCGCCTCGCCGCTCCTCGCGGGAAGGGGTGCCGCTGACCGGCAGGCTGGCGGGGGCCCCAGGGCCGGCCGCCACAGCGCTGGGGGGCTGGGTGCTGGGCGCCACCAGGGCGAAGGCATCATCCAGGAGGGAGTGCATGGTCTGGCGCGCCTCCTCGATGGACGGCCGCGGCGGGACGTACTGCGAGGCCGGGAAGGGCGGGCCGGGGTAGCGGCCCAGCTCGGCCGAGGATGGCGTCAGCACCTCGGCTGGGAGGTCGGGATCCGACTAGAGAGGAGAGATGGCAGAGGGGAGCGGGGTCAGACAACGCGGGGACAGCCCCAGCGGCCCGCCCCCAAGGCAAGAAAGCCAAGAGGTGTGCAGTGCTCCACGGGGCAGGGACGGAGAGAAAGGACAGCAGGGACGGTCCGGGTACGATCCCTGGCATCCCAAAGCACTGATGCCTGAGGGCAGCCAAGTGTGGCCCCAAAACAGTAACAAGGAGAAAAAAAGGGAGGTAGGGAACCCAACCAACCCCTACAGCCTGGTCCCTGGGGAAGAACGCATGTGGGCACCCAGACAGGCATCACGACACGGCCCCAGGAGCCCCAGGTCCAGCTAGTGTGTGACTGTCCCCTCCCTCCTTCTTTCCCTCCCCAAGTCGGCACAACAGTGAAAGGTGGAAGGAGGAGACGGGCAGGAAGGCCCCGGAAGAAGGCAGGCGCCCCTTTCTACCAGGCGATACTTTACAACAATGGGGGCCCAAAGTCCCAGTGTGAGATAAGAAGCATCAGGAGCACCTCCTGGGGGGTGAGGGGCACCCCAAGAGGACGCCCCTGTCCAGATAGAGCCAGTCCTTGCCAGCCGGCCAAGCAGGCAAGGAGCAGGGTGAGGCCGCCACCTAGTGCCAGCACTGGGCACAGCGGCGGCTCCAGCAGCCGGGTGCCTGGGTCGGGGCCCACCCCGGGGACAGCCGGGCTCTGTCCCAGGACCCCGGGACCCGGACTCCCTGTCAGACAGCCCCTCAATCCTCGCTCGGGTCTTGGCGCCTCCCTGGAGTCACACTTCACACCTCCCCGCAGCAAAAAAAAAAAGACATAAATGACAACACTCAGGTTAGAAAGTACCTGAGTGCTGGGTGGTGAGATCTGGGTCGGAGGCGCCCCGAGTCTTGGGCCCAGCACCCCCTTTCCAGAACAAAAGCCCAGGCCATGTCCCATGGTATACCCACCTCCTGGGAAGGAATGGACAGAAAGCCCTCTGCCCACTCTGGGCAAGTCTCATCTAAAGAGACGTGGACACCTCCCTGGAGGGACACGCTGGCTCTGCAGGGGGCCATGTCCACTCCCACAGGACTCGGCCTAGGCCCCCTCCTCAAGGCCGTGTGTGTGTGTGTGTGTGTGTGCGCGCACGCGCACCCACATTTGGGGGGGCCAGAGTGATAGGGCAACAGGCAGGGCGTTTGCCTCGCATGCAGCAGACCCAGGTTCAATCCCCGGCACCCCATAGGGTCCCCCAAGCCCACCAGGAGTGGAGCCAGGAGTAATCCCTGAGCATCGCTGGCATGATCCAGAAACTAAGCGAAACAGTGTCATCCACGCCTGCGCTGACCCCAGAAACAGCCCTGCCACACTTCCCGATTGGGAATGCCAAAACCCTGAGTTTGAAGAAACGTTTTATTCTCTGGTTTGGGGCCTCGTCTAGCCCTGGCTACTCTGAGCTCAGCACTCAGGCATCGAGGTCGCTCCCAGCAGTGCTTGAGGGATGGAACCAGGGCTCCCGCGTGCCAAGCGTGAGCCATCCCCAGGTCCACAGGAGACAAATCTTTTGTTGTTTTTGGTTTGGGGCTGCAGCTAGCAGAGCTCAGGGGTTAACTCCTGGCTCTGCACCCAGGGGTTCTTCCTGGTGGTGCTTGGGGGACCAGATGTGATGCCAGGGATTGAACCCAGGTCAGCCCCATGTAAAGCCGCCCACTACACGATCTCTCTGGCCCCGTGAAAACAACCCTTTAATCCTTCATTGCCTCTGCGTCTTTGCTCCCTGGAGAAGCTGCCTCCTTAGCCCACAAGGAGGAGAATGAAGGGACAGAAATTTCCTATCATGACAATACCCAACCAACTTTCAGACCAGAAGGGGAAAAAAAGAACCTTCTAGGCATTTCCCTCTGCTTTCCAATCGATCCCAGGAAGTCCCAGTCCACAGCTGGGGTATCACGGGGCAAAGAAAAGCACAGGCTGTTCCAGGGGCGCACTGCAGCCCCCCCCAACACGTGCCTCAGGGACCGCTGGGCACAACACCCCCGGGTGAGCGGCTGCCACCCCTCCCTGCCCGCCCGCTGCGGCCCCACCCCAAGCAGGCAGCGGTGTGCGCACCGGGCAGCCCATGTAGGCCGAGTTGTGGACGCCGGGCGGCCGCTTGTAGGTGCCGTCGCTGTCCGTGGTGATGAGCCGGTCCTTCTCTGCGTCCCCGGGGCAGCCGTTGACCTGGTGTTTCCGGCGGGGCTTCGGGGAGCGTTTGAGCCGCGAGCTGTCGGGGCCACGGAGAGAGAGTTTATTTTCCAGGGAGATCTCCCCCACCAAGGACCGCCCCCCTCCCAGTGGACCCCTGAGCGAATGTGGGACTGAGGACCCCCAGGGCAGACTGTGCTGGGGGGAGGGCAGTGAGTGACCTCTGAGGCATGCAGGGTGCCACCCCCACCTCCGGGCAGTGCACAGCACAAGGCAGTGGCGAGCTCATGGCCCCGACACCCTTCCCCACCTCCGCTCCCCTCAGGGGGCCTGTCCCTCAGGGGCCGCGCCCTGGGGCCCACCTCTTGCGGGGCTCTATGAACACTGAGGGCACGCTGGCCGTGGGATCCAGGATCTTGTCGATCTGCATCTGCGCCCTGCGGTACACGCGATGGCGCTCGCGCGTGTCCCCTGAGGACAGGTCGTCCACCACCGGGAACTCGTAGTGGCCGCGGCGCTTGGCGCGGAGGCGGATCTTGTTGCGGTGATGCTCGATCTCCGACTTGTGGCGCAGCGCCGTCTGGATCTGAGGGGGTGGCGGGAGCCTGCGTCTGGGATGGCCCTGACGGCTGTCCCAGGGCCACAGTCCCCCACGGTGACGTGGGCACACGGACCCCCACAGACCGGGATCCACCAAACAATGTCCAGAGTACACGTTGTGTCTCGAGGTCCCCCACCCCAGACGAGGGTCCACACACTGGACGGTGCCAGCAGGAAGGAGCTGTGGCAGGTGGGGGGAGGGGTGGACACAGGAATGCAGAAGGGAGGGGGACAGAGGAGAGGGCAGGGCTGGGGGCCCAGAGAGCACAGACGTGCTGGCCCAGACTCACCTGCAGACTCACCTACCTACACTCACCTGCATGCAGTCACCTGCATATACTCACCTGCCCAGACTCACTTGCACACACACCTACCTACTCTCACCTGCAAACACCTTCTTACACCCACCTGCCCAGACTCACCTGCACACTCACCTACCTAAATCTACCTGCACACATTCACCTAGTGAGACTCACCCGCCCAGATTCACCAACACACTCACCTACCTAAATTCACCCGTCCAGACTCACCTTCACACTCACCTGTGTACTCAACTACCAACACTCACCTGCCCAGACTCACCTGCACTCACCTGCACATTCACTTGCACTCACTTGTGTACTCACCTGCACACTTATCTACCAAGATTCACCCGCCCAGTCACCTGCACACTCACCTGTGTACACTCCCCTGCGCATTCACCTACACACTCACCTGTGCAGACTGCCCTGCCCTCACCTGCACACGCAGGGGCTGTGCCAGGAACAGAACCCAACACCTCACACATGCAAGGCAGGTGAACTACCCTGAGCCTCATCTCTGGCCCCTCAAATACTACATTCAATTTCTTTTTTGGGGGAGACTGTACCTGGCGGTGCTCAGGGGCTGCTCCCAGCTACCGATGGTGGCGTACAGGGACCATATAAGGGACTGGGAACGAAATAATACAGGTTGGTGCTGGAGAGACAGTGGGGATTACAGCACTTGCCTCGCATTTGATCTGCAGCACCACATATGGTCCCCCTGAGGCCCATTGGAGTCAGAGTCAGGAGCGATACCTGAGCACCGCCGGGTGTGGTGCAAAAGCCAACACACACACACACACACACACACACACTCTCTCTCTCTCTCTCTCTCTCTCTCTCTCTCTCTCTCTCTCTCTCTCTCTCTCCATTTTTAAAGACACTCCAGGGAAGCCGGAGCAATAGTGCAGTGCGCAGGGCGCCTGCCTTAGGCGCAGCTGACCGGAATTTGATCCCTGGCACTCCATATGGTCCCCAGAGTACCGCCTAGAGTAATTCCTGAGCACGAAACAGGAGTAACCCCTGAGCATTATCGAAAGTGGCCCCCAAACAAACAAGTAAATAAATGTTAAAAGACATAAGGGGCCTCAGAGGTAGTCCAGGTGTAGGGTGCCAGCCTCGCACACGGCCAGCCCGGGCTCCATCCTGGCACGCAGAGAGCCCCCAACACTGCCAGGAGTAATCCTGAGCACCACCGGGTGTGGCCCAAAACCCCAATCTGAAAGGGCAGTGGAGGGCGGGCCTCACAAACAGGAGGCTTCCCAGCACCGACCCTCTGCCAAGCCGATGGGAGAGTGGGACAGGCGGCACCAGGAGCGGGGGCTCCAGAACGACACCAAGAGGGGCGTGAAGGGGCCAGGTGGGCAGGGGGTCCCACTCACCAGTCTCCGAGCTAGCTCCCCACTCCCTGTTTTTGCTTTAAAAAGGTTAAAGAAGGGGCTGGAGCAATAGCACAGCGGGCAGAGCGTTTGTTTTGCACGCGGCTGGCCCGGGTTTGATTCCCAGCATCCTATATGGTCCCCCGAGCACCGCCAGGAATAATTCCTGAGTGCAAAGCCAGGAGTAACCTCTAAGCATCGCCAGGTGTGACCCAAAAAGCAAAAAAAAAAAAAAAAAGGTTGAAGAGTAGTAAAATAAGAAAGACCAAACAAAACTAGTTGTGTACTACACAGCACCAGAGTGACAATAAAACAAGTCAAAGAGTGGAAGGGCAGGGCGGACCCGACTTTTCCGCAGTTCCGTGGTTAAGGGTGGACCAGGTCGGGCCGTGGACTGCTTTTCCCCACGCGCTCCCGCAGGAAGGCAAACACCAAATACCTCTTTGTTGATCTTGTTGGTCTCGGCCGCCCGGTCGGCCAGGGCGGGGTGCTGCAGCGGGGGTGCGGGGAGGGGCTGCATGGCGATGAGCTGGATCTTGCTGGGCACCCGCCGGCTGGCCTCCGAGGAGCGCGAGATCCTGTCCACGTGCTCGAAGATGGAGGCGGAGGAGTGCGGCTCGGCGCCCGGGCCGGGCGGGGGTGGCCCTGGAGCGGACAGAGGCGTCATCCGGGGAAGAGGCAGGAAACAACAACGCAATTCAGCGAGAGTGAGGGGGGTAGGGGGGACGGAGCAACAGGACAGCGGGGAGGGCGCTGGCCTTGCACACAGCCGGCCCGGGCTCCATCCCGGCATCCCGGGCGGACCCCAGGGGATGCCAGAGGGACTCTGAGTGCAGAGCCAGGAGTAAGCCCTGAGCAATGTCGGGCGGGGCCCCCCGAAACAAAACAAAAAATAAATAAAACGGGGGGGGGAACGGGGCTCGGAAGACGGCACAAAGGGTGGGAGCACATGCTTTGCACGTGGGAGGCCGGCCGGGGTCCGAGCCCAGCTCTGCACACTCCCCCATACACCACACAGCCACTGAGCACGCACTGTGACCCCAGAGCTGTGCCAGCAAGCAGGGTGACTGCCGCAGGTCAGTGGCCCGGGCCCGAGTGACCCCACCACTGAAAGTCACTCCCACGACAGAGAAAATCGCGAGCACTGTGGATGCTGGCAAAACGGTGCCCCTCCAAGCCGGGTGTCCTTGCAAAGGAGAGGCTGGACTGAGGGACTGGGCCGCCGGGAACAGGGTCCCTGCTGTGACCCACAGTCAGCTCGCCCGGCGGGGGACGGACGCCCAGAAGCTGCTCTTCCTTTTCTTTCCCTCTGGTTTTGGTTCTGGGGGTCACAGCCTTGCCATGCTCAGGGATGACTCCCAGTCCAGTGCTCAGAGAGCACTCCTGGTAGTGGAGCTGGGGGTGATCCCGGGCAGTGCCACGGGGCGGGGGGGAGCCCAACATGGGCATGCTGTGGGCAGAGCCCTGGGTGCCACCTTCCCAGCCCGTCCTCGTTAACTCCTGGTACGGCGGGGACAGAGGAGGGTCACTGACCGCTTGGCGGTGCTCGGTGCAACTTGCCGTCAGCTACCACGCCCGGTGCCTTGTCTCCGGCCTCCCGCTCGCTGGATTCTTCACTCACGGTCGAGTCGGCATCCGAGGGGGACACTCTGCAGACACGAGACCAGGAGCCCATCAGGTCCCTGAACCAAAGGGGCCGGGCTGGGCCCGTGGATACGGACGTGGAAGGAAGGAAGGACTCTGGGGCCAAATGGGGTCATCTTCCAGGGCCAAGGACAGCAAGCAGGCGCCCCTGAGGGCCACCAGTGGGGGTTCTGGCAAAGCTGGGGGGGGTGGGGGAGGCTGGCCGAGACTGGAGGACGGGTCTGAGTGGGCAGGGACCAGGCCGGTAGCTTGCGTCTGGCCAGAGCTGGCCGGTAGGACGGCGGGGAACTGGGAATGCAGAACCTCTAGGAAGCCGGGCAGGTCCTGGGCTCACTCCCCAGCTCTGCGGAGACCTCCCCTTCCCACTCCGCCGGGATGGGGCGCTCCCTATGAAAAACGAGCGGCCCACAGGCAGTGGGGGTCATAGATGACTGGGCCACACCCCTGCCCTGGGAATGCGAACTGTCCAGACATTCTGGTGCCCCTGAGAGATGCTAAAACCGCGCATCAGCCGTGCAGGCCGCGGGCAGACGGTGACTGTCAGGAGGAGACTGTGGAGGAAACCCACAGACTCAGCCGACCAAGCGACCGCCAACGGCTGGGTCAGCAGGAGCCTGCAAGGGAAGGAAGCGGACACCTCTCCGCCGAATCCCGTCCTTCCGCCAACATCCCTCACATTCTTCTAACGTGGGCAGAAGCCCCGGGACAGACATCGGGACGACACTCTGGATGCCTGCACAACCCTGGTGGGAGATGAGCCGAGATATGGCAGTCCAAAGCGTGGTAGCGACAGCCTGGGTGCCAGCATGTGGCTCCACGTCACATCGTGTCCTGACGAGGCCCAGCGAGCGCCAAGGGGGCCTGCTCTGGGCTCCGTGCCCAAGGGGGCATGTGTGCGGGGCCTCTGCTGGGGGGGGGGAGGGGGGCTGAGCCTGATGGGCTGAGGGCACTGCATGGGGACAGAGAGTCAGGCAGGGAGGAGCTGCTGGAAGGTTCCGTGCATGAGGCTCACAAGGGGACACTGCAGAGAAACCAGACGCCTGGCCAAGCAGGGTGTCCCGGGGACAGAGCCATGCGCCCTGAGCCGTGCACCGAGCTGTGGACGGGACATCTCCGTCCCCAGAGGACGCGCATGCTGACCTCCACACGGCCTCAGGCAGCCCCTCCCAGGACTCTCCACCCTGTCCTCCTGGGGGGAAGGGCCACTGGCGGGCCCCCCCCCCCCCCGAAGTAGCCGTCAGTGTCAGGGGCCCCAGCGCCAGGCGAGGGGCAGCACGGAGAAGGGACGCACCTTCCCCGGTGCCGGGCCGTCTTGGGTGCCAGCTTGGCCTTGGGGCTGGGCACGTCTCCGTTCTCTGAGGGGGTGGGGTGGTCCTTTCCGGGGGCGGGCAGCGGCGCAGGCTCGTGCACGATGAGGATGTCGTCCTTGCTGTGCTGGCCCAGGTGCTGCTTGGCAAAGTCGAAGCCCTTCACGCTGGGGATCTGCAGCTGCGCAGAGAGGCAGAGGGAGGGGCGTGAGTCGGCGGCCAGGGAGGGGTGGGGGTGCCAGGTGGGTGCTGCGCAGAGAAGGTGGCAGGGTGCGGGCAGGGCGCTGGGGCACCGAGGCGGAAGGGACGCCAGCCCAGGAGCCCCGACGCTGTGATGATCCCACCGGGTTCCAACCTGCCCCTGTCCCCCGTACAACGACCACTGTGGACACCCCCCCCCCCCCAAGCTTTCCGGGACAAGAGGCGGCCAGGGAAGGAGTCACGAAGAGCGCGAGGCAGGCGGGGCCGGATGCCACCCCCACAGCCACTTCTGGCCCCCCATGGGAAACTTCAAACCCAACCTTGACACGAGCCATCGACCCCTGAAGACGAATGAATACAAATCTCCTCCCCCAAACTGTTAAGGGGCTGAACCCTAGGCCCTCAGAATCCACGGTCACGTGGAACCCGTGAGGAAGACCTTATCTGAACACAGTACATTTGATTTTTAAGAGAGAGAGAGAGGAAGGGATAAAGAGAGAAAGAGAGGGAGAAAGAGAAAGGAGGAGGGAGAAAGAGAGGAGAAAGAGAGAGGGGAGGCTGGAGCGATAGCACAGCGGGTAGGACGTTTGCCTTGCACGCGGCCAATCCGGGTTCGATTCCCAGCATCCCATATGGTCCCCCAAGCACTGCCAGGAGTAATTTCTGAGTGCTGAGCCAGGAGGAACCCCTGAGCATCGCCGGGTGTGACCCAAAAAGCAAAAATAAATAAATAAATAAATAAAACCACCACCACCAGGAGAGATTCCTGGGTTCAGGGCCAGGAATAGCCCCTGGCTTTGAAAAACCCTCTCTCAAAAAGAGAGCGAGAGAGCGAGAGAGGGGGGGAGCAGAGGGTGTGTCAGCTGGAATTGGACAGTGTGAAGGCCCGCGAGGCCCTGAGCAGCCATGCGGCAGCGTCTCCCCCCAAGCCGTCCGATTCCAGGGGGATGCGGGGAGGGGTGCGGGGAGGAGCTCCTTGCAGAGAAGGGCAGGGCCGGGACAGGGGGACTGGTGGAGGTGGGAGGGGGCGTCACAGCCCACGGGGCAGCTCCCAGATCTGCCTCCCAGCCGGGACGGGCTCCCTAACCGGGACAGCCTGGCTGGGCACTGACAGACTCGCTCCGTTTGGGAGACCACTGACGGCCCCCAGATGCTGCCCTCATTCAGTGGTGCGGCCCCGCTTGCTCTGAGCCTGGTTCTAACTGGGGGCAAGGCCTGCAGGGAGCACAGAACACCTGAGGTGGGGCAGGAGGCTGGCGTGGGGGACTCCACTGCTCTCTCTTTTTTGCCGGGGGGGGGGGAGGCTCAGGGCCACTCCCGGCTCTGTGCTCTGGGAATCGTGTATGGTCAGCTGCATGAAAGGCAAGGCCACAAGGCCGAGCCTCTCAGGCTGTTGTTGTTGTTGTTGTTGTTTGGAGCCACACCTGGCTTTACTCCTGGCTCTGTGCTCAGGGGTCACTCCTGGCAGGGCTCTGGAGACCGTGTGGGGTGCTGGGGATCAAACCCAGGTCAGCCATGCACAAAGCAAGTGCCCTACCCATATTGTTCGAGCCCAAAAGCAGCGTTCTTGTTTGCTTTTTGGGTCACACCCGGCAATACACAGGGCTTACTCCTGGCTCTGCACTCAGGAATTACTCCTGTCGGTGCTTGGGGGACCATATGGGGTGCTGGGGATCGAACCCGGGTCGGCCGTGTGCAAGGCAACCACCCTCCCCGCTGTGCTATCGCTCCAGCCCCCAAGCATTGTTTCTAAAGCAGCATCTAAAGATCCAAGTGGACAAGAAGACACAAAACACAGGCAAGCAGGCAAGTGCGAAAGTATGATCATCCAGGGAGACCAAAAAAAAAAAAAAAAAAAAAAAACGGGCTGGATCCAACCCCCAGCATCCCATCTGGCCCCTGGAGCACCACCAAGAGTGATCCCTGACAACAGAGTCAGAAGTAAGCCCTGAGCACCACTGGGTGTAGCCCAAACCCCACCCCACCCCCCAAAAAAATTCATAAGCAATATCCCACCCATGTGCATGACCCTTGAACCCAAGCTGCCCGCCTGCAGCCTGGGCCCTGGACGGCAGGGTTTATTATGCCCAGGAGGCGCAGGGCCACTGTCCCTATGACCGGAACCCGGAGGCTGGGAGGGCCGGTAAGGCACCAACACTCTCAGCTCATCTCTCCCATGCCAGGTGGGGGACAGGCGGTACCAGGGACCCAACCCCAGCCCACCTAGCCATCCCTGCGGCCCCGCGAGGATCTCTGTGGCGTGGTTGTCTCTGGCCGTGAGTCTGACCCGAGCTGTGTGCGGGGTAAAGGGACGTGCTCCCTGCAGGGCCCCCCACCCCACCCCAGGATGCTCTGGATCCAAGCTGGGAAACAGATGAGGGAGGCGAGCTGCAGGAACAACTCCAGCCAGCAGGGGGGGCCACAACTCCCAAACCCGGTTAACAGGAGTCACTGGGAAACAAAAGGCGCTTGAGGCAGAAGGGCCGGGGGTTTTCTAGAGACCTGTCAGGTGATCACGTTACTGCGACTCGCCTGGAACTTGGTTCCCTAAGACACCGAAACCACCCTCCCGGCCTTCTCTTCTCCCTGACCCTCACCCACTGAGGCTCATTTCCTGGTGCCGGAGACTGGACTGACCAGTGGTCACTAACGGGCGCAGCCCTGGAGGCCTATGACCCCTGCAGCCCTCTCCTGAGCCCAGCCCACCGCAGACAGGTGTGCTTTTGCCTGCACAGAGAGAGACCCACAGAGGGGTCAGCGGGAGGGCGCTTGCCTTTCATGCAGCTGACCAGAGCTCAACCCTCCCCAGCATCCCAAAGGGTCCGTCCACCTCACGCCCCCGGGCCTCAACCAGGAGGAGTCCCTTTTTTGTTATGGTTCGGGGATCACACCCAGCGGTGCTCAGGGCGTGCTCCTGGCTCTGCTCTCAGGGATCACGCCTGGTGGGGCCCAGGGGACTGAGGGTCAAACGCAGGCTGGCTGCAGGCAAGGCAAAAAAAAAGCACTACCCGCTGTACTGCTGCCACCAAGGACTTCTAAACCACTTGTTTGGGGGCCACAACTGCCAGTGCTCAGCCCTGACTCCTGGCTCTACACCCAGAGTCACTCCTGGCCGGGCTTGGGAGACCGTAAGGGATGCTGGGGATCGAATCTGGGTGTGAGGCAAACACCCTGTGGGCTGTACTATCGCTCTGGCCCAGGAGGGATTCCTGAGTGCAGAGCCAAGAGTAACCCCTGTGAGCAGGGTGTGGCCCCCCAAGAAAGAGAGAGAGAGAGAGAGAGACAGACAGACAGACAGAGACAGAGAGAGACAAAGAGACAGAGAGAGACAGAGAGAGAGACAAGAGAGAGAGACAGGGACAGAGAGAGAGAGACAGAGAGAGAGAGAGAGACAGAGAGAGAGAGACAGATACAGAGAGAGAGACAGACAGAGAGAGAGAAAGAGACAGAGACAGAGAGACAGAGAGAGACAAAGACAGAGAAAGAGAGAGAGACAGAGATTTCCTTAGAAATTTTCTGCCCCACACCCTGGTTCTCGCCCCACCCCACTCCCCCCCGCAGGGCTCCATAGGCCTGGGGAGGGGACAGCACACAGACCAACGCGAACATCGGGGGGCTTCTACCGGCGGGGAGTCTAAGAACTAGTCCGACGGAGACGTGAGCATGAATGCTGTCGGGGAGAGAAGTCGGCAGGAAGTGTGTCTGTCTGGGCAGGCGACCCACAGTTGCCCACCCACAGCTGCGAGCACGCAGCACTCGGGAACACCAGCCTTTTCACTTTTTAAGTCTGTCCGTGTCCCCGGCCGACACGCTCAGCTCTGGAGCACTGTCTCTGGCCTCCACACGCAGGACGGAAGCCTGCGACTGTCCTATGAGTCCGACCACATCTCAAAGTGCTGCACTCACCAGGCTGCAGCCCGGACAGCCCGGGGAGGGGGGCAGAAGCACCTCTTGAAAAACTTTTTTGGATCATTGTTGTTTTTTGTTTCCGAGCCGCACCCGACAATGCTCAGAAATTATTTCTGGCTCGACACGCAAGAATTACTCCTGGCTGGGGCTGGAGTCACAGCGGGGAGGGTGTTTGCCTTGCACGCGGCCGACCTGGGTTCGATCCCCGTTAGATCAGATGGTCCTCCCGAGCACTGCCAGGAGTAATTCCTGAGTGTAAAGCCAGGAGTAACCCCTGCACATCGTCGGGTGTGACCCAAAAAGGAAAAAAAAAAAAGAATTACTCCTGGCAGGGCTCGGGGGGGGGATTCGCCCCTGGGATGCCCGAGACTGAACCCATGTTGGCGACTTGCAAGGCAAGCATCCTACACCCCTGTTGGGTCCCCAAACACACCTCTGGGTCCCCGCCCTCTCGCTGGGTCCCCACACCCCTGCTCCAGCCGGGCTCTATGACAACCTCTGCTTTCATTCTGTGCTTCCTCCCTCACTCCTCCTTCCCTCCTTCTCCATCCTTCCATCCCTCCCTCCTCCCCTTCCTCCATCCTTCTGTCCCTCCCTTCCTTTCTCCTCCTCTCCCTCCCTTCCATCCCTTTTCTCCCTTCTTCCTTCCATCCCTCCATCCCTTCATCCTTCCACCCCCTCCTTCCATCTCTCCCTTCACCCCTCCATCCCGGCTTTTAACCCCTCCCTCCTCCTATCCTTCCACCCCTCCCTCCCTCCCTCCCTCACTCCCCATCCCTCCCCTTCACCCCTCCATCCCCGCCTCCCACCCTCTCCCTCCAGTCACCCTCCCCATCCTCTCTCTTCCACCCCTCCCTTCTCCCCTCCCTCCCTGCCTTCATGCGTCATGAAGCTTTTCCCTGTGGCCCCTCTCCCCCAGTGAGCCCTGGGGGACCCCCTCTGGGAAGGCAGCAGCACCTGCCACAGAGGAGGCCGCCCTCTATGCCTTCCCCGGGACAGTCAACTTTGGGGCTGTGCATCTTTCTCCCATCCCAGGCAGTGAGCAGCCCGGTGAGTGCGAAGCCCGATGAATCAATGTGCTGCGCTGGAGGCCACCTCAGCCGGCAGCGGGGACCCAGGGCCACCCAGCAGCAGGGAGTGGCCTGTCCCGGCAGGAAGAACACAGTTCCCAGGGGCCCAGCTGCCCAGGCCAACCCATTCAGTTCTGTAAATAGAACCCCCGCCAGGGGACGGCAAGGTCAGGAAGGCTGGAGGCTGGAGGACTGCGGGGTGGGGTGCGTGACAGATGAAAAGGGAAAAAGAATCACAGACAGACATGAGCAGGCAGAGCTCTGGCCTCAATATCAGAAATAAGGTAGGGCACAAGCAGCCCTCCTGCGGAGCCCTGCTCCTGAGGGCGTGGAGGGGGCCTGCACCACGGGGGCCCAGGGGTCGCTGCCTCGAGATGCGCGGGGACCTGGGACCCACCAGTGGGCTTCTGAATGGGAGGGAGGCCACCCGGAGGGGTGGGGGGGGGCGGCAGAAGGGGAGGGACCTCTCAGGACTCCCAGGACCCACTGAAGAACAAAGGTCAGAACAAAGTTCAGAACAAAGGTTGGGATCGTCACTTCCTTGTGGCCCAGATGCCAGCGTCAGGCACCAGGCCTGCAGAGCCCACCCGTGCCCTGGAACTCTCGCAGGGCTGGCCCTCTCTCAAGGGTGTGGTCAAGATGTTCACACCCCCAACCGCCCAATCCAGTAACGAAAGGAAAAGCACACCCACCTCCCTAAGCCCCCCACAGCCAACAGCTCCCCCAGAGACTCACAAGTCACTTCATTCCGTCCAACGTCTGGGATGGGGAAAATGTTTCAGAAGCCAAAGCGGGAGAAGGAGAAAGCAAGGGGAGAGGCCTCCCGAGCTGACCCAGGGCCAGCCCGGCTGACAGCACATGTGGCGCCGTGGGAGGGCCCCAGGCCATTTGCACGGGTCCCACAGCTCCTGGGAGCACTGCCCATCACAGGCATGAAAGTATCATCCTGCCAAACTGTTGAAATTCTGAATCAATGGCTCCACCAAGTACTTCCCTGCAGGCCACTCGCTAGACTAATAACCAAACACACTTAGCAGAGGGGACCAAAACCAAATATATATGTAGAGAATGCCTCCGATAAAACTCTCCAACTGTAAGCTGACCAGGGATTCAGCAGTTGGCACTTGTCAGTTAATTTGTAATGGAAAGAATCACCATCATGATCATCCTGTTGTTCGTCGATTGCCTCGAGCAGGCCCCAGTAACGTCTCCTTCGCCCTAGCCCTGAGATTTTAAAAAGTGCCATATTCAAGGCTCTTTCAGGGTTAGGAGAATGAGACCCATCATCGTTACTGGTATTTGGCATATTGGGTACGCCACGGGGAGTTTGCCAGACTCTGCCGTGTGGGCAGGTTACATTCGGTAGCCTGACAGGTTGTCCAAAGTAGGAATGAGATAATAAGATGTCACTTTCAGAAGCTGGGTTTTATAGTCTCTGGGTCTTGGCCGTTGATGGGATTACACAGCTCCGGGGGGCAGTTGGTGGATGTGAACCCCTGCCTACTGGAAGATGGAGGATCTGGGTGGAGGATGCTCAGCCCCAATCTGAGCAGGCTTGGAGATCTCAGCCCCAGGACCCGCATGCCTTTGTCCTTCTGCTAGTTCCTTCATACATGTGGAGAGAATATTCTTTATTTTTCAAAGGAGCCATCCCCAGCCCTGGCCTTGCAGCCCGACTGTTCAGTGTTTGAGCATGGGGGTGTCAGGCAGAGGCGTGGGGGGAGCACCAGGGCCACACCTAGCAATGCTGGGTTTGAGGGGAGGGGTGGGGATCAGAATCACAGCCTCAGGGCCAGAGCTGTAGTACAGTGGGTAGAGTGTTTGCCTTGTACACGTATCGTCCCCAGCATCCCATATGGTCCCCCGAGCACGACCAGGAGTGATTCCAGAGTGCAGAGCCAGGAGGAACCCCTGAGCATCGCCAGGTGTGACCCAAAAAGAAAATAAATTTTAGAAAGCACAAAACAAAACCAGGGCCTTTGCACGTGCTCTCCCGCTCAAGCCACCGGCTGCCCCCTCTTCGTGTACTTCCACAAAAGGGAAAGAGAAGACAAACTCGTGCTTCCTTCATCCTCTCCTGCTCTGTAATACCGAGCACTTTTTATACCCCGTCGGAATAAAGCTAAAAGGGTAACAGAGTACTCCTTGACTTCATGCTTTTCTGCCACTTGCTTTTTCTTATCCAGCGTTTCAAGTCCTCTAAATTTGCGAGACCCAAAGGCAGGCCGCGGGACTCGTCGGAATGGACAGGCTGCACTTCTAGCTCCCCTGGGAAGGTGGGGGGGGGGGGGGGTCTGTGAGGCCTGACAGGCTCCTTCCCAACCCTCAACTCACAGCCCACCCCAGGCAGGGCAGACACTGAGCAGGGGCTCCCAAACCCAGGCGCTGTAAATATCACTCAGAACCGCTGGGGGCTAGAGCAATAGCACAGTGGGAAGGGCGTTTGCCTTGCACGAGGCCAACCTGGGTTCGATTCCCAGCATCCCATAGGGTCCCCTGAGCACCACCAGGGGTAATTCCTGAGAGCAGAGCCAGGAGTAACCCCTGTGCATCACCAGGTGTGACCCAAAGAGCAAAGAAAAAAATAAAAAATAAAAGCAAAAAAAAAAATTTACATCGGTGAGGGGTACCAGGCTAAGACCCTTGGAGTCCAGCACCCATCTATTTTTTTTTTTTTTTGGACTGGCTGCCTGGGATTCCAGGAAACTCCCTACCTATGTTAATTCAACTATCCGCCTGCCTGGGGAGGGTACCGCAACCACCCAAGTGACCCCGCACCCTGGCTGCTTCTCTCCCAAGGAGTCCAACGAGGACAGTCCAGCCTTGCTGGCTGCAGGAAATGCCACGTGGGGCTCCTCTGGGGAACCAGCACCCAGGAAGTAGGACTTGAGGTACACTGAGAGGTCGCCCCTCTGTCCCTCGGTATGCATGGTTAGTGATTGCCTCCTGGGGGCTGGCAGGTCCAGGGCCACCCCGCAGGGACGGGAAGCAGAGCTGCCCTTAACCATGGCCAGCCCCGGGAGCCCAGAGGTGGTGCCCAGAACCGATGCCAAGACCCGCGGCCACCCAGCTCTGGCCATGGGCAGGGAGCTGCGGCCTGGGCACTGCAGGGCTGGTGGTGGGGGACAAGCGCCCCCTCCTCCTAGGCCACGCCTCTGGGCCGGGAAGCCCTGTCCCTGCCCCCCAAACAGCCGCTGGGGCATGGGCCAGGCGCCCCTTACCTTTTGACGCTGCTGGATGTTGGCCACAGTGTCCGGTTGGAAGTCCAGCTTGTCGGTGCGGCACAGCTTCCAGTAGAGGATGACCAGGATGACCAGCACCACCAGCACCGGGATGACCACGCCCACGATGACCCACAGGTTGCTGCTTTGGGCCTCCGGGACCGGACGCTTCACCCTGTCCACCGCTGCGAGTCAGGGACATAGGGAGGGTGTGGTCATTGCCCGGGCCCTTTGGGCAGGCGGCTCCCGCCACGTGGTGCCCGCGGACCGGATGTGGCGTCACTGCACGCCGGAAGTGACGTCGGAACACACCGGAAGTTGCGGGTGTCCCGCTGGCCGGCCTCCTAAAGCACGTGGCCCGTGGCAGGCCGGTGCCTTTCCCATTCCCCAGGCTTCCTGCGGATCCAGCTAGCCTCCCTCCAAGCTGTGGCGGCAGGACCGCACCATACAGCTCTCCCAATCAGCAGTCTTGGGGGCGCGGCCTTCATTTCCCCACCACGCCTCTTCCTAAACCCTTGAAACAGGGCTTTTGGCCAACATTATTTTTGCAGGAGGGTAATTGGGTCCCCCCTGCCCTTCTTGGCCAACCTGACCAGAGATTCAACATGAGGCCAGGGGTGCAGTGCAGCTCGGCTCTCCTGCCCCAAGATGACCTGGGCCACCCCTGCAATGCACAGGGCCATGTGCAAGTCCAGCTGCCTGCAGCTGTCCGCTGGCAAATACCGTCAGATCACAGGCCTTTTAGATCCGCCACCGCAGCCCTCACCCACCTTCCTCGTTGGCCTTGGGCAATTCTGCTTCAGCATCTCCCTCCCGGTCCCTTACTTTCGCAGGCACCTGCCCCTAATCCTGCGTCCCTGTCCTGAGGTCACTCCTGCCTCCCCCCTCAGCCTCTCACCCCACTCAAAGCTCAGCTCTTCCTGGTCGTCTTAGATTCTAGGTTCCAGACACCAGGCTCTGAAAGCCACATGCGTCCGGTCTCTGCACAACTGTCCTGAGGGGCCCTCCTCCAACTTCTGTTCATGGGACTAGTCCCCCTCCGAGTTCTGTTCTGCTCATCTGGCCTTGTAAAGGGAGGCACATTGCTGGCTGGTTTGGTTTTGGTTGAGGGGCCACATCTACAGTGCTCAGGGGCTATGCTGGGGCTATGCGTGGGGTCGGGCTATTGCGGGCTCACTCCTGGCGGTGCTAGGGGAGCGTGTGCAATGCCAGGGATAAAATGGTGGCCACATGCCAGGCAAACATCTAAATCCCATGCTCCCCTTCCTGTTGTTCACCCCATGGCAAGACGTACATGCGACATTCAGCTACACTCTACAGACCTCTCAAACTCTCAAGTCTTTTTGTTGTTGTTGTTTTAACTTTAATTTGTGGGGGCAACACCCAACAGTGCTCAGGGCTGACTCCTGGCGCTGAGCTCAGAGATGACTCCTGGCGGGGCTCATGGGATCATATGTGATGTCGGGGATCAAACCCAGGTCGGCGGGTACAAGGCAAGAGCCCTCTCCGCAGGACATCCCTCGGTCCTCCTGGGCAGGGAACCATCTTGCTTGACTCAGATGTCATGTTTGCCGATGGTCAGTGCACACTACAGAATTTCTGTCCCGACGTAACAATGCCATGACCAGAAAGGTTGTGACACTGCTTTAAAGTTTGGTTGAAGGACCTGAGAGAGGTAAAAGCAGGGAGAAGCACTCTGCAACCAACACTGAGAACAGCTCTGATTCCTGGAGGTGAGAAAGGAACAGGCCAATGACCAAGGGCAGACACACAAGGGCGAGCGGAGGAGACACAAGTGTGCTCAGCACCTGTATTTTTCCACCTGGCCTGAGGATTCTCTTTCTTTTGTGGGGGAGGGGGAGATAAGGAACCATACCTGATGGTGCTTAGGGATCACTCCTGGTGGGGCTCAGGGAACTCTATGTGGTACCAGGGACTGACCCCGGGTTGGCTGCATGCGAGGCAAGCAACTACCTCTCCAGCCTCGGGCCTGAATATATCATTCGCCTCATTTTGCATGACGGTCAGTACAGGAGGGACGGAATCAAACTGAGGAGCTGGTAACCCCTGAATAAGCCTCTTTATTCTAATTAAGCAAAAACCCTCGGAGGGACACGGAAGGTCTGGTCGAAAGGCAGCCCCGCCACGGCAGGCCACATGGAGTCCCCGAAATCCCAACACCGGCACCTTCAGTGTGTTCCCCATGGCAGTGAGGCCAGAGAGGCAAGAGCAGGAAGAGGTGGGCTTGGGGTATGCCCCGACCCCATTGCAGTCACGCTCTTGCTGAAGGGAAGGGAAGCTGCCCCCACAATCAGAAAAGGCACGTGAAAAAAATAAATAAATAAAGCCTCAGTGCTTCGTTAGTCTTCTCTCACTGCTTGGAAACAGAACACTAACTTGCGCTCCGAGCCCAAACACCACCCGTGACTACTAGCTTAAACTTTCCTGAGATCTCAGCAGGGCTGGGGGACTGGGGGGCTGGGGAGGCTATAGCTCATGGCAGAGCACCTAGTACTCATGTGTGAGGTTCTAAATTCGGCCCCCCAACAACAGGCATGAGAGATTTCACAAAGAATCTTGGGGGCTGGAGTGATAGCACAGCGGGTAGGGCGTTTGTCTTGCACACGGCCAACCCAGGTTCAATTCCCAGCACCCCATATGGTCCCCCGAGCACCACCAGGAGTAATTCTTGAGTGCATGAGCCAGGAGTATCCCCTGCGCATTTCCGGGTATAACCCAAAAAGCAAAAGCAAAAAAAAAAAAAAGGAATATTCCATTACCGAGGATAATTTCAATGATGTCATTTTCATTTTGCCTTGGTTTGGTTTGGGGCCATGCCTGTCAGTGCTCAGGGCTTGTTCCTGGCTCTGTGCTCAGGGATCACTCCTGGTGGGACTCGAGAACTATAGGGTATAGTGGGGATCAAACCCAGATCAGCCACGTGCAGGGCTGGACTACCGCTCTAGCCCTTCATCACTGTCATTTTTCAAAACCTGTCTCTGTCTCCAAGACCTCTCTAAAAAGAGTGATTGTTTCAGTACCCTCGTGCCCCATTCCTTCTAATCATTTCCTTATGAGTATGATTATTATTAATTGTATAAATACAAACATAAGGGCTGGAGCAATAGCACAGCAGGTAGGGCGTTTGCCTTGCACATGGCCGACCCGGGTTCGATTCCCAGCATCCCATATGGTCCCCTGAGCAATGCCAGGGATAATTCCTGAGTACAGAGCCAGGAGTAACCTCTGTGCATTTGCCAGGTGTGACCCAAAAAGCAAACAAAACAAAACAAAAAAATAAATATAAACATAAACATGTACTTCTTAGTTACTGTTGGGAGTGAGGTCAGAGGTTTCCAAGGCGTGCCCCCAGAAAGAAAGGAGGAATATCAACATGGGCATGTGAGCAGAGCCAGCGGGAGGGGGGAGGGGGAGCACATAGGCTGAGCCTGGGGTCCGTCCCCAACACCGCCTGGTCCCCTGAACACCACTGGGAATGACCCTGGAGCACAGAGACAAGAGTAGCCCCTGAGCACCTCTCAGTGTGGTCTAATAAAACCCAAAAATTCTCAACATTTAAAAAAAAAAAACAGTCATCTGACGCATGTGGGTATATTTAGAGAAATGTACATTTTCTTCCATGTATCTCCTTGTTTTTGAAGTTCAAATCCCCTATGTCTGTGAGTTAGAAGCGGCAACAGAGAGCAAAGCAACCCTATGGGCGGGGGGGCGAGGGGGGGCAGGGTTGCCAAAATCTCTTCCAACAATAATAAAGAAGCACCAAAATACTTCTAAATGGTGGCATGGTGTGAGGACAGGGTGGGACAAGAAATGGCTGCAAAGGGTGAGTATCAAGGACTTCTTTGTAATCCGGGACTCAGAAAAAGGCACCTCCCAGCTTCCTGCGTGACTCACCGTCCACACCCGAGTTCAAAATATGGCACGGAAGATTCTGGAAAAATTACTAAGAAAAATGTTCTTTTACCTGAGACAGAATTTTTGGTTTGTTTCTTTTGGGGCCACACCCGATGGAGCTCAGAACTTAGAAAAACACTGAGGGGTCTGCACTCAGGAGTCACTCCTGGAAGGGCTCAGGGGACCATATGGGATGCCAGGGGGTCAAGGCAAGTGCCCAACCCGTTGTACTATCACCCTGACCTGAATTTTTTTTTTTTTAAGAGAACTAGTCCTTGGGGCTGGAGCAATAGGACAGCGGGTAGGGCGTTTGCCTTGCACGCGGCCAACCCGGGTTCGATTCCCAGCATTCCATATGGTCCCCTGAGCACCGCCAGGGGTAATTCCTGAGAGCAGAGCCAAGAGTAACCCTTGTACATTGCCGGGTGTGACCCAAAAAGCAAAAAAAAAAAAAAAAGAGAGAGAACGAATCCTTGATAAGAGGGAAAAAAAATAAGAGGAAAAAAAGTCAACTTCATCTACTAGAATCCATCCTACCTCGGCGAACATGACCATGACGGCCGCAGTGGGAGGACGGGAAGGGAAGGCCTTGGGCGATGAGTGAACTGACACCTCAAGTGCCATTTCCTAGTAAGTGCTAGGGGGCAGAGGAGGCCGTGCAGGATTAAGGCGCCTGTCTTGCACACTGCTGGCTCTGGTTCTTTTCACTCTCTTTGGGAGGGGGCACACATTCAGCTATGTTAAGGCTTCCTCCTGGCTCTGCACTCAGGGATCACCCCTGCTGGGCTTGGGGCACCCTGTGGGGAGCAGGGGATGGAACCTGGGCAGGCCATGTGCAAGGGAAGGCCAGCGCTAAAAGTGGACTATTCCCTCCAGCCCCACGTCTGACCCAGGTTCAAACCCTGGCACCACAGGACCCCCCTGAGCTCTCTTGGATGTGGCCCCACCGCCACTCTCCCCAATAAACAGAATACTGATTCTTTCTTTACAAACACTGTAAGGGACCGGAGGGCTAGTCCAGTGGGTAAGGTGCTTGTCTTGCATCGGCTGACCCTGGCTCAATCCCCGGAACCCCAAGTGTCTGTCCCAAGCACCGCCAGGAATAATTCCTGAGTGTGCAGAGCCGGGAATTAACCCCTGAGCATGGCTGGGTGTGGCCCCGAAAGAAAGAAAAACAGTAAGAGCTGAGGGCTGGGAAGACAGGTCAGAAGATGAACCACATGCTTTTTTTTTTTTTTTTTTTTTGCTTTTTGGTTCATACCTGGCGATGCTCAGGGGTTACTCCTGGTTCATGCACTCAAGAATTACTCCTGGCGGTGCTCGGGAGACCATATGAGATGCTGGGAATCGAACCTGGGTCAGCTGCATGCAAGGCAAATGCCCTACCTGCTGTGCTATTGCTCCAGCCTCGGACGACATGCTTTTGCATCAAGGAGGCCCGGGTTTAATTCCCTGCCCTAAAGGGTCCCCAGAGAACTGCCCGGAGTGACCCCCACCCCAAGCACTAATCTGGGCACAGACCCTGAGCACCACCAGGTGTGTCTCCAAACACCCCTACATCTATACACAGTAAGCACTGAAAATACAAATCCGAGGGGCCCCTCGCCTCGCACTCACGCTGGGCCACGGCGCCCTGGATCCGGTAGCCCAGGATGATGGCCGCACGCTGGATGTCGATCTTGTTGATGAGGTCGGACGACCTGACCGCGCTGAGCCGCTCGCCGTCGGGATCCTCCACGAAGTAGATGAGTTGCGCGGGGTCGTCCTCCCCCTCCAGCCGGGACACGTTCACCACCTGGGGGAGACGGGCAGGGGGCGTCAGCACGTGGACCCACCCACGGGACTTACTTGGGGACTTCCTCCAGTCCGAGGGGCCAGGCACGGTGCCGGCAAAGAGGGCAAGTGAACGACGTCAAGTGACAAGTGGGCAAGTGACACCAATGCCTGGTGTCATCTGAGGCCAGGGGTGAGCGGGACCCCCAGAACATCAGGGGTCCCATCCCCAGCTGAGGCAGCTATCCAGCCACTAGCCGGAAGCCGTGACCCAGCACGGCAGGATAAGGAAACCTGCGGCTCACACCAGTGGGCTGGCGCATCCCTGGCTCTCGGACACGTCTGGCGGACCCAAGCCACCAAGGGCTGCATTTGCAGGAGGCGTCCTCTGCCGTGGTACCACTCCCACGGGCACTCTCCCTAGGAACTGAGCAGCACCCCCAACTCCAGGCTCAAAAGACACCAGCAACAGTTCCATACTCCACCCACCACCAAGGATGAACCCCAGACGGAGCCCCGCCCACGGTCATTGTCGCCTGGGGGTGGGAGTGGGCAGTACATCTCAGGGGTGCCTTCAGCATCCTCTCCCCAGAGGAGCCAACACGGGACAGCAGATCTCAGCATCATTGTTGGCCAAATGGGCTTCCCGGGCGTGGATGGGAACACAGGCAGGAAAGGTCTCAGGCCACATTCCTCATTAGGCCACCAAACAAGCCTCCACGCAACCAAGGAGAGACACGTCGTCACAAGGACCTTCTCCCACCGCCAGGGTAGAAACCAGGAACAGGAGGAAAACCGAGACCCCCCAAGAGATGACACCGAGGCAGAAAGCACCCACTAGGGAATATGAGGCAGGAGGGGGCCTGGTCCCTGGCACCACCTGCCTGTGCCAACTGCGGTCCTGCTCGCTCTGTGGCCTGGGCACCCCCCCCCCTTGAGGCGGGAAAACCTTCAAATCAGTGCCTGGGAGGCCCTGCTGGCCACCCCCAGCATTGCTGGGCCTAGCTAAAAGCACCTGCACTCTAGGCTTGGGCCCGGGGGTGCTGACAGCCCCCAAGGCTACACCCGGCCATGGCAGGGGAACCCAGCGATGCTGGGACTGAACCCAGAACCTTCTTGTGCAAAGGCCCGCCCTCGCCCGCTGCTGCGACGCTCACGCCCCTTTCCGTTGTGGTCTCCCTAGGGGCTCCACACATTCAGCCCTGGAAACCACATGCTGGGGAGTAGAGGTGGGCAGGGGTGTGGGTTTCCGAGCAGCAGAGCTGCCGGGCACCCGGGTGGTGCTTGGGCATCCAAGTCTAGGCCTCACGCGTGTCAGGCAGGTGCGTGCTCAGCAGACCCACCTGGTGACCCGTCCTCTCTGCATTCCCCACGTGGCCCGCCGCTGCCCGGAGCCCTGACCGGGAGGCCCTGGGGAGTATCTGTCAGGGCTCTAGCTGGACAGAAGAAACGCCACGGCCCTCCGTGGCCATCACACGGAGGAACGCATCTGCACCCGCATCTCCGCGTGGTAATTCCCAGCACCCCCCACCCACCTTCCTGTCTCTGGCTCACAGCGGCCCCCCTGCCCCACCCGAGTACCTGCACCACGCCGCTCCCCGCCGCGACCGTGGCCCTTCTCCACATCCGCCTCCGGGGGGACACCTCACTGAGCAGCTGGGCCAGTTTCCGCTCCATCTCGGCCGCGAACACTTCATTCTGCAGCTGCTGCTCCACCACGCCCAGGAGGACTGCACGGGGGAGGAGGCATCAGCGGGAGAGAATCCCCCTGAACCCGGGGTGACATCCCACAGGGGACGTGTGGGGAGCGGAAGGCCTCCTGGGGAGAAGCCGGCCGAGAGCAGCCCACGGATGGGATCTGCGGGGCCCAATATGGAAGAGTCGCCCCAGTCAGGGTCAGGTGCTGTGTGGCACCAACTCGGGCGGGTCTCCGCTCACTTCCGACGGCGGGTACGGCCGCAGGGGCCCGGGGACTGTGTCTCCAGACTTAGACTCCCACACGGGAGAGAAGTGGGGGGGGGGGTTCTGGCTTCAGACCCCAACCGGAACAAGCCCCTCTGCACTGACAAGAGGCTGGTCAGCTCAGGGACAGGAGGAACAAGCCAAGGTTTTTGGCCAGGGTGTGTGTGTGTGTGTGGGGGGGGGGGGGGGGGGGGGACGTGAATCAGGACCGCAGGGCATTGCACTCCTCCTCTGGGGTTGTCTGGGGAGGCGTGGGAGGAGCCAGGAGGCCCTGCCAGGGTCTACACTAAGTGCACGGTTGGCACGCTGGGCATCCAGCGAACCTGCAACTGTCCCTCACACCAAGTCTGCTGCATCCTAAGGGGACTCTCGGGACCCGGGGAGGTGGCCCAGTGGTCAAGGCCCTGGGCACCTCACAGACGCAGGAAAGAAAGGAGGGAGGACGGAGGAGGGAGGACGGAGGAGGGAGGACGGAGGAGGCAGGCAGAAGGCTGGGCATTTACTCATGGAATTTTTTCTGTCCTTGTCAAACCAAACAACTAGGACTTGGGGGAGTGGCAGGGGGGCTGGTGCCCTGCCCTGGCAGCGGGTCTGATTCTGGGTCAGGGCGCCAGCGCCCCGCCAGGCCCTGTCCGCCCCACATGCTAAAGGACGCCCGTGCTTTCTGTGCCACATCTCAGCGGGACCCGCTCCCAGAGCCAATGCCGAGGCCCTGGTCATTCATCCTCTGCCAGGAAACCCCCCTCTGCGCCCTGGATTCCAGGCTCCTCTCCTGGTACCCACACAGACCGGGGCCCCCCACCCTCCCCACGCAGCCCAGGGGGGTGGGGGGGCAGCCTACCTGTCCTCACCCAGGAGGCCTTCAGCAGCTGAGACAGGTTGAGCTGGAGGTACTGGAAGGCTGCGGGGGAGGGCAGGGGAGGAGAAAGCCTGTCACACACGTCAAAAGCTCCATGTTCGCCCCTCGGGAGGGTCTCGGGAGCCAGGCCAGCGCAGGGTAAGGGGCTTTAGTGTCTAGGGCCCAGGGTGCGCAACCACCAACGCTGGCCCTTTCTCCCTGCCACGCCCCCCCCCCCCCAATTCACCCGATGACACTGTATAGACAAATGTGTGCCTTAAAACTGGTCGCAGAGTTTCAATTATACAATGATCATGTCTGGTCTGTAGTCTACTTTCAGCATGCTTCTCCCATCCTGGGAGGATCCTCCCAACACCCTTTATTTGGTGCTCCCTTCTCTATCTGAGCTGCCTTTTTCCCTAGCGTGTGCGGCTGGCCTCCAAGCCATGGAGTAAAATTCCTGGTACTAATCTCGGCCATTCTTGGGTGTTAGTCTCCTATTTTGTTACTTTACGTTCCCCAGATGAATGCAATCTGTACCTCATGATGTCTCACTAATAAAAATTTAAAAAAATAAAATAAAATAAAATAAACTATACGAAAGACAAAAAAAAAAAAAACTGGTCACAAAGGCTGGAGAGAGACTCCAGAGGTTCAAGGACTTGCCTGGCTCATGACCGAAACCAGCTCAATCCCCAGGACCATGTTTGGTCCCCCAAATCCCTTCGGGCATGACACTGGGGCACCACTAGGCATGCCCCCACACACACACAAAGACTCCCACAAGTAAATAAATAAACAAATGTAGCCAACACGGGCTTGAACCCTTGACTCCACCTATGGTCCTCCACACACCCCCAGGGGTCAGCCCTGAACACAGTCAGGAACAGTCTCTGAGAACTGCTGGGCGGCTGTGGTTCCATTACCCGAAATAGATACAGTGAAGTAACTCAGTGGCTGGTGGGCTCAGGGACCCAGAGTGAGCACTGAGCATCACTGAGACTAGCCAAAGACCAAAGTTTTTTTTAAAAGGAAAGAAAGAAAGTAAAAGGAAGGAAGGAAGGGAGGGAGGGAGGGAGGGAGGGAGGGAGAAGAAAAGAAAAGAGAAAAGAGAAAACAAGCAGTCCTGGGCCTTGCTGGGAGTGGCCGGAGAACCAGCGTTTCTTTTCAAAGGCAAGGAGGGACGGAGGGAGGAACAGCAAGGGTGTGTGTGGTACTCACGCTCGGCCACCTGCAGCACGGGGTAGCCCAGGTAGAAGCTGAACTCCACCACGCTCAGGTTCCGCAGCCGCTCGCTCACGTCCACGCCGCTCAGGAAGCCCTGCGTGCCCCGCACGGCGAAGACCACGCTCACAGGCCCCCGCCGCGGGGCGCCCCGGGAAGAGCCCACCGTGATGTTCAAGATCTAAAAAAAAAACAGGCGCGGAGGGGGGAGGGGCGGCGGGGTGGGCCTCCAGAAAGGGCAGGTTCCGTGGACACGCTCCCGTGGGGCTCGCTACGGTCCCCTCATCTGTCCTCGGACAGGACGCAGGTCCCCGCCACCTGCACATCCTGGCTCTGGACCTTCGGGGGTTGGACCAAGGCTTGGGTCCATCCCACACCCAAAGCCCACTGAAGTCACAGTGGGGAAATCTTAGGGCAGCAGGGAGCTTGGAAAGGACCAGGGAGGGTGGGCTCCAGCGGCAGACCTCCTCCAGGACCAGGGGAGCCTGGGCCCCCCCCATCTGCAAAGGCCCCGGGCATGACACAGCTGAGAGATAGGCAGGATGAGCCGGGTCCTAGAGCCAAGGCCTGGGACACCCCTCCCCGCTCCGCCAGGGGCCAACACAGAAAAGAGACACCCCCACCCCGCTGTGAACTGGATCCCCAAGGGAGGGCCCCTCCCCCTGTCAGGGCTGGGAGAGTGAGGGGTGACGCCCACGCCCATCGCCCCCTTTAAAGGTGGCAGCATGGGGGGGCCACAGCCACAGGACGGCGGGGAGGGCACTTGCCATGCACGCGGCCGACCCAGGTTTGATCCCTGAGCACAGAGCCAGGAATAAGCCCTCAGCACTGCTCGGGTGGCCCCCAAGAAACACACAGATGAGTAGTAACAAACCCAGCAGGGACACCCACCCATGGGCTCACCTGCACCGTGAGGTTCAGAGGGCCCTGCGGGTGCCGCCGCACCTCCCACAGGGCGAGCACCAGGCCCTTCTCCAGGCGCTGCGTGAAGTTGCAGAAGCCGGTGTCCACGCTCTGAGGCACAAACTGGAGCACTGCAGGGACAAGGGGCCAGCACAGCCCGTCAGTCAGTGCTCAGGAGCAGAGGCGGGGGGAAACGGCTCTCCGGAGGCCCAGGAGGGCCACGACACGAGGGTGCGCCGAGACCACGTGACATCCAGGTCACAGCCCACACAGACACACGCTCAGGGTGGGTGGCCAGGGGCTAAGGGGCCTGCCTGGCTGGCATACAGCCAACCCACATGGTCCCCTGAGCACTGCGGGGTGAGCCTGGGGGGTACCAGAAGTCCTAAGGGAGTGACCAGGGTACTCCCTGGCACCCCATCCTTGGGCGCTTGCCTGACCCACTGGCCATGGTCTGAGAGTTGCCTGCAGAGTCCCCCCAGCCTCTTGAGCTCTCTCGGGAGACCGGCCCCAGGGCGGAGAAAGGGAGAAATTCTCAAGGCAAAAAGGTTCACTTTGGGGCCAGAGGAGAGCACAGCGGGTAGTGCGCTTGTCTTGCAGGTGGCCTAACCGGGTTCAATCAATCCCTGCATCCCATATGGTCCAGGGCAACTCCTGAGTGAGTGCAGAGCCAGGGGTTAAGTCTGGAGCCTCACCATGGGCTGATACCACCATCACCTCCACCACCATCATCATCATCAAACAATGCTTCTCGCGGCCAGGAAAAAAACGGAGTAAGCCCTGAACAGAGCCAGACGTAGCCCCCCAAACCAAAATAAGTTAAATTACTAGGGTGGGGCCAGTGAGATAGTACAGAAGGTAGGGCATTTGCCTTACACACAACTGACCCGGGTTCAATTCCCAGCATCCCACCTGGTCCCCTGAGCGTGACTTGGGGTGACCCCCAAACCAAATCAGTGTTTTTATTTATCAGTGTTTCTTGACCACTTGGCCACATATATGTGGCTTTTGTGGATCCTCAGGATATTCCAAGGGGGCTACCGGTGGAAATTGCGTATGTGGGGGTCACCACAAGACATGGGGGCGGGGTGTGGGAAGCCAACGGACAGGACAAGGGATCTTTTAGATTTTTTTAAGGAAAAATGAACATTGCTTTCTTTGGTTTGGGGGCCACACCCAGAAGTGCTCTGGAGCTACTCCTGGCTCTTTGTTCAGGAATTATTCCTAGCCGTGCTCACAGGACTTTATGGGATGCCGGGGATTAAAGCTGGATTGCCCTATACAAGGATTGTCCTATACCCTACCCGCTGTACTATGGCTCTGGCACCCACTTTTTTTATTTTTGAGATGTTAGGGGCTGGAGCAATAGCACAGTGGGTAAGGTGTTTGCCTTGCACGCGGCTGACATGCCCGACCCGAGTTCGATTCCTCCGCCCCTCTTGGAGAGCCCGGCAAGCTACCGAGGAGAGTATCCCGCCCGTACTGCAGAGCCTGGCAAGCTCCCCATGGCATATTCAATATGCCAAAAACAGTAACAACAAGTCTCACAATTTGTTGTGAGGTGTTACTGGTGCCCGTTCGAGCAAATCCATGAACAATGGGAGGACAGTGCTACAGTGCTACAGTTTGAGATGTCAACTCTAGAAATTTTATTCTTTAGTCTTGAGTTGGAGTGATGTTCCTTTTTTTTTAATAATTTCATGTTATTTTATAAAATAGTTCACAATACTTGATTACATCTAATATTCAAACACCAATCCCACCACCGTTACACCTTCCCACAACCATACTTTCTGTGTTTCCATCCCATACCCCAAGCCCTGCCCCAAAGCAGAACCGAAATAATTCATTTTGTAATTGTTTGTCATGAAAAACCGCTGAGGAGGCTGGAGCAATAACACACCGGGTAGGGCATTTGCCTTGCACGCGGCTGACCTGGGTTCAATTCCCAGTATCCCATATAGTCCCCCAAGCACCGCCAAAAGTAATTCCTGAGTGCACGAGCCAGGAGTAACCCTCGTACAATGCCGGGTGTGACCCAAAAAGGAAAAAAAAATACAACAACAACAAAAAAAACACTGAGAATATTACAAAAAAAAGTATCCTTAGAGGAAGGAATATGAAGATTGTTGTGTTTTACCCAGGAAAACTGGCCCCCACTTTAAAACAGTTTAATTAGCTCCGTTTCTCACCTGTTTGAACTTGGAACCTGGACTCTGGGACCAGGAAGGAAGGTTTCACGGCCAGGATCAACGGGGTTCGGTCACGTACAAGCTTACTGTTGATCAGGGCATTTATGACGGATATTGCCGTGTATACGAAAGGGCCGGATGTTACCAGAAAAGTGAAGTCAGCAAACAATTCATAAACCTACGGAAACAAAACACACAAGGGACATTGATTATAAAAGCTGTGGCTACCATTATCCAAACCTAAATACAGATATTTCTGAACCCAAAAATAATAGCTGGTTTTAGAAGATGGAATAGTGCAGGTATCATGAAAATTTCATTTTAGCTACCAGTTTTACAGTCTGTCAAACTCTGGACAAGAGCAAGGCCAGAGAGAAAGAATAGCCAATGAGATGATGTGGATAATGAGTTATGGAAAGTTCCAGATGTTTTGCTGGTTCTTTAATATTTTGAAGTAATATTTTAAATTACTTTTGAAGTAATTTCAGACAGACTGTGAATGGACATATACCTTCTTGTGTGTGTGTGTATATATATATATATATGTATATATATATATATATATATATATATATATATGGGGCTTTTGGGTCACATCTGGCTGAACTCAGGGGTTACTCCTAGCTCTGCACTCAGGAATTACTCCTGGTGGTGCTCAGGGGACCATATGCCAGAGACTGAACCTGGGTTGGCCATGTGCACGGCAAACGCCCTACCTGCGGTACTATCACTCTGGCCCCATATTTAAATTTTTGTTGTTTTTGTTGTTGTTGGTTTGATTTGGTTTCAGGGCACACCTGCCAGAGTTCAGGGCTTACTCCTGGCTCTGAGCTCAGAGAGTTAACTGCTGGTGGATTCTGGGGACCGTTTGGGGTGCCAGGGATTGAACCCAGCTCAGCCGTGCACAAAGCAGATACCCTCCCCGCTGTGTTCTCATGCAGCGCAAGGCTGTGTTTCTCTTAAAGAGGCAATTATTCCACTGAGCTGTGAAATCCAAAAGAAGCCTGAGAGCCGCACACACAGTTGAGGCTAGCCTGGACCAGAGTGTGAAGGGTAGAAACGGAGCTCTGGGTTCCTGCACAGAAACGCACCCCGGGCCTCGCTGAGACCTCCCCGGAGACACCTCCAGGTCCTTCCACGCACGCCAGAGGAAGCCAAGCCGGCAGCCTCAACCCACCCAGCCCTCTGTGGGATTAAACGTGGCCCTGACTGGGGTCCAGAGACCTCAGAAGAGTGACACCGGAGTCTGGAGCCAAAGGTGGAGCAGGGGCTCCCCGGGAAGAGAGAGGAGAGAGAGCGTTCCGCCACGGGGGCCTGGGGTGCAGCTGAACACTTGCCTGGCACCTGTGAGGCCCAGGGTTCGATCCCATGGTAGAAAAAAAAAAAAAGGAAGTCCCTCGTCCGTGATGAAACACCCTAAAAGGACATCCCAGGTCCGAGCCCTCCAGGGCCACGCACTCACCTTGAGCTCCACAGCTCGGTTGAAGTGGACCCGCAGCACCTCTTTGATGGACGTGATGATGTACTCCTGCACCGCTCTCCTGGCCAACACTGCAGGGCAAGGGCAACCAGTAAGTGCAGTTACTGTCGTGAGGAATAACGTGGGCACCACGTTTCTGGGTCCCGGGGCAGAGCCCAGGCTGTCCCGGAGTGTGGGAGCAGCTGCAAACACCATTTCTAAGAGGTGAAACCCGTCCCAGCCTCCACCCCGGGAAGAAAGAACGGAGCTGGAGGGACGGAGCTGGATCTTCGAGGGTTCAGCCCACGGAGCCAGGGAGTCCCGACAGCGCAGGAAGAAACCCTCCCCTCTCCTGGTCCTGTGGGGTGAGAGCCAGGGTCAGTGGCTGTGGCCCCGTCCAGGCCAGAGAACACGAGATCTCTTTGTTTGGGTGGGGGGAGAGAATGGAGTACAAGCACACCCGGCAGTGCTCAGGGCTTCCTCCCGGCTCTGTGCTCAGGGATCACTCCCGGTGGGGCTCAAGGGGCCCTCTAGGAAGTGCAGGGGTCGAACTGAATCAGCTGCACTCACCCCCTGCACTATCTCTCGGGTCCTGGAGTCTCACTTTTATCTGGAAAACGCGTCAGCTTTCCTCTCTCAGGTATATGCCCCTAATGGTAAGCACCAGATCTCTCTGCGGTCGTTTCTTCCTTTTTTTTTTTTCTTTTTGGGTTACACCCAGCGATGCTGGGGCTGGAGCAATAGCACAGCGGATAGGGTGTCTGTCTGCCTTGCATGCTGCAGACCCGGGTTCAATTCCTCCGCCCCTCTCAGAGAGCCCGGCAAGCTACCGAGAGTATCTTGCCCACATGGCAAAGCCTGGCAAGCTCCTGGTGACGTATTCAATATGCCAAAAATAAATAAATAAATAACAACAAGCCTCACAATTTGTTGTGAGACGTTATTGGTGCTTGCTTGAGCAAATCGATGAACAATGGGAGGACAGTGACAGTGACAGTGGCCCAGTGATGCTCAGGGATTACTCCTGGCTTTGCACTCAGGAATTACTCCTGGCGGTGCTCAGGGGACCATATGGGATGCTGGGAATCGAACCCGGGTCGGCTGCATGCAACGCCAACACCCTACCTGCTGTACTATCGCTCCAGCCCCCTTGTAGTCATTTCTTCTTTGTTTTGTTTTATTTCAGGGGCACACCTGGTGGTACTCAGGGGTTCCTACTGGCTCTGCATTCAGGAGTTACTACTGGCGGTGCTCAGAGGATCAGAAGGGATGACAGATATCAAACCTGGGTCACCACGTGCAGGGCAAGCACCTTACTCGCTCGGGCCCCTGTAGTCTTTTCTTAAAAAAATATTACTCAACAAATTAGATTAGGTGCCATTTTTCTTCACAAGGTCTCCTACTCCCATTTTTCAATCGAGTGGGAGAATAATAACAGTAGGAGCTGAGGAGACAGTTCAGGTGTCAGGGGCTTGTCCTGCATGCGGCCAACCCTGGCTCAACCCCTTGCTGCACATTTGACCCCCTGAGCACCGCCAGGTGTGTGGCTGCTCCAAAGTCCCTCAGAAATAAAATAACAGGAATAAAAGGCCGTCATCGTTCCCATGTATCAAAAGTTGATGTAGGAAATAAGATGTTTCTTACAACAAAATCCAAGGAAGTTTAACTTTGCTTCTATTGTTAAGAAATCACATTCAATAGCCGAGATAAATACCAGGAGGTTTACTCCATGGCTTGGAGGCCAGCCACACTCTCTAGGGGTAAAGGCAGCTCAGACAGAGAAGAGAGCACCAAATAAAGGGTGTTGGGAAGATCCGCCCAGGATGGGAGATGCATGCTGAAAGTAGACTATAGACCGAACATGACTGCCACTCAATGCCTCTTTTGCAAACCACAGCACCCAAAAGGAGAGAGAGAACAAAAGGGAATGCCCTGCCACCGAGGCAGGGTGGGATGGGGGAGGAATGGGGGGTGGGAGGGATACTGGGATCCGTGGTGGTGGGAAATGGGCACTGGTGGAGGGATGGGTACTCGATCATTGTATAACTGAAACCCAAGCACAAAAATTTGTAAGTCTACAACTGTACCTCATGGTGTTTCACTAATAAAGATTAAAAAAAGAAAAAAAGAAATCACATTCAAAATTCTGATGTGGTTCCAGTCACAGAGCAAATGCCTTGAATGTGTGAGGCCCTGGGTTCGACCTCTAATACCTCGCAGCCCATCTGAGCACCTGGTCTCTGAGTTCCGCTGAGTGTGCCCCAAAAAAGGATCTGTAGTGGGGAACAGTCCTGTTTCTCAGCGTTTCGTAAACACCTTCTGGTTCCATTTCCTCCCTATTATTCTATTTTACCTCTTCCATGAATGTCTCCGAATGCGGAATTAAAATTCATTTCCTATTATTATTCAGTTTCCCATTTCCTGAGCTTAAATTTTAAAGAGGGGGGAAGGGAAAAATGAGGGGAGAGGAAAGAGAAAAGCAAGGGGGTGGGGAGGGGTGAAGGGAGGACAAATGGGGACGGGGGGGGGGGGGTGGGGGGCAGAGAGAAATGAAGCCTGGGGCTTTCCTGGGGGTGGGGACCCCCGAGTGACGGTCCCCTCCACACCTGCACCTCCTCTAACCGCTGTAAACGCAGCACTGGGGACTGGGCACAGCCGTCCTGCACCTCAGGTTCCCCCAAGCCCCTGCATCTCCCCAGCCCAGAGCAGCCTGGGACCGCCTGAGGGGCTGGAGGGGGTGGGGGAAGCAGGCAGGTGGGCGGGGCGGGTGACTCCAGCCCAGGCTGGGCACTAGGCCTCAAGAGCCTTCCTGGAGTCTGCCCTGGGCCAGCCGAGAGGCAGAGCGCCCTTCCCTGTTTTGTCTGTTTGTTGTTTTTGCTTTTTTGGGTCACACCCAGCAATACGATGCATAGGGGTTGGTTACTCCTGGCTCTGCACTCAGGAGTCACTCCCGGCAGTGCTCAGGGAACCATATGGGATGCTGGGAATCGAACCCAGGTCAGCCGCGTGCAAGGCAAACGCCCTACCCCCTGTGCTATCACTCCAGCCCCCCGTTTGCTTTTTACCTTTTTGGGGGTTTTGTTTTGTTTTGTTTTTCTTTTGGGGCCACACCCGGAAGTGCTCAGGGATCACTCCTGGTAGGCTCGGGCTGGGGTTAGGGGAGGTGGTCCCAGCTGATATATGGGATGCGGGGATCGGACCTAGAGCAGCTGTGGGCAAAGCAAGCACCCCACCCATGGGTGCTCTCTCCGGCCCTAAGCCCTTTCCTTATTTCCTTTCCTTCCCACATGGGTGTCAAATACAGTGAAGATCTGAGATGCGGCTCCGTTTCCGCCGGGCCAGAGACAGCCCAGCACCTGCCTTGCCGGGGTGGGGGGCCGAGCGGTGTCCTCTGTGTGTGAGTGGACACTCCTTGCTGTACTCTGAGTGCAGGAGGCCCGGGCTTAGTACTGCGCGTCCACCCCCAGAACTGTGAGTTGCCCCAAGCACCGCAAAATTTAATACAATAACATAAACACCTTCTATTCAGACGACCCTCTCTGCCCGTCATTGTGTACATTCAAGATGGGCAGATCTGGACTGGGGAGAGCCAGGGGTGACGGCACTCGCCTTGATGCTGCTCACCCAGTTCCAATGCTGTCACTCCATATGGTGGGGCCCCCAGCACCACCAGGAGCACAGAAACAGGAGGAAGCCCTGAGTATTGTCAGATGTCTCCCCCGTCAAAAGAGGAGGGTTGACTTTTACCCTCAAAAGCTCTTTAAAAATATATGACTCCCTAGGTAAGGACACAAAACATAATAAATATATGTCAAGGATGGAAGTTAATTCAAACTACAGAGCAGAGTTTTTAAACTTCTTTCACTCTCGACTCCTTCCCAATAAAGACTGAAGTGATTCTGGGTCTGTAGGTATATAAATTAAACATTTACTGATAATCAAAAAAATTTTTTTGTTGTTTGGGGAACCACACCTGGTGGTGATCAGGGATCACTCCTGGCAGGGCCATATGTGGTGACGAGATCAAACCTGAGTCAGCTCTATCCCAGGCAAGCACTTTACCCACTACACTGTCTAAGACGTAAATTTTCTTTCAACCAGTTCTTTAGAAAGTTGCAAGCCCCCCATATGAGGTCAGGACCCACAGTTTAAGAGGCTAGGCTGAAGTGCTGGAGTGATAGCACAGCAGGTAGGGTGTTTGCCTTGCACATGGCCCGACCTGGGTTCAATTCCCAGCATCCCATATGGTCCCCCGAGCACAGCCAGGAGTAATTCCTGAGTACATGAACCAGGAGTAACCCCTGTGCATCATTGGGTGTGACCCAAAGAGCAAAAACAAAACAAAACAAAAAGGAGCTAGGCTGAAAAGACCAGCGCACCTTGGACATAGTTCTCAAGTGGCATTTGCTATTTGCAGACATTCTGGAAGATTCTGCTTCACACCTGTGAGCTTCCAACACATCCCAGAGCCCTGGGGATAACTGAGCGGTCAGTGGCACTTTTAAGTGAGCTCCCCCAGTCCATCAGGCACTGCCGTCTCTATTGTCCAGCGATAATTCTGCAGGATGGAAGGGAAGGAGCTGGCCCACAGGGAAGCTGCTCCCTCCGCTGAACTGTAATCCCACAGGGAAACTCCCCACTCTCACTCTCACCCGGCTCAGTATGACACGCAATGACACTTCCCACTGGGAGACACAAAGACCTTCTCCTCTGGCACCGTGCCCTGCGTTACCCCCGGCCAGACTCCAGCCAGCTGGCCCCGATCCTTCACCTGGGGACCGTTCCCGTCTCCAGCCCCCACTCACCTGCTAACCTGAACCCCGAGACTGTGTCCTTCGCAACCCCTCCATGAGGGTGCGGGTGTCTCACCCCGAAGGCTGTGACCATTCGGCACGCAGCGTCCCTGCCCCATGGGACCCTTCACCTGCCCAGCTGCATGCATTCGAGCTCCCGGATGGACCTTTTCCTTTGAGGCTGCCTGGGGCATCCCACGATCACAAGGTCCCTTCCGGGAGGCAGAGGAGCAGAGAACCCACAGCCCCCCCTCTCCCCTGCACAGAGAAGCCCGGGTGTGCTCTCCCCTCCCTCGCCTCCTGTGGCCCCGTTTCTCTTCCTTCCCCAGCTCCACCCCCACCACTGCTATCAAAATCCATTGGGGCTGGAGCAATAGCACAGCAGGTAGGGCATTTGCCTTGCATGCAGCCGACCTAGGTTCGATTCCCAGCATCCCATATGGTCCCCCGAGCACCGCCAGGAGTAATTCCTGAGTGCATGAACCAGGAGTAACTCCTGTGCATCGCTGGGTGTGACCCAAAAATAAAAAAAAAAATCGACACCATCTTTAGAAAAAATGAAGTCATGAAATTGACATACAAGTGGTACTACTTGGAAAGTATCATGCTAAGTGAAATGAGTCAGAAAGAGAGGGACAGACATAGAAAGATTGCATTCATCAAGAATAGCCAAGTTAAGTACCAAGGGATTCACTCCATGGCTTGGAAGCCAGCCGCACATGCTAGGAGAAAAGGCAGCTCAGATAGAGAAGGGAGCACCAAATAAAGGGTGTTGGGAGGTTCCTCTCAGGATGGGAAATGTGTGATGAGAGTAGACTATAGACGAAACATGATTGCCACCCATTGCCTCTTTTGCAAACCACAACACCCAATAAGAGAGAGAGAACAAAAGGGAATGCCCTGCCACAGAGGCAGGGTGGGATGGGGGAGGGGGAGGGATACTGGGATCCGTGGTGGTGGGAAATGGGCACTGGTGGAGGGACGGGTACTCGATCATTGTATAACTGAAACCCCAGCACAAAAATCTGTAAGTCTACAACTGTACCTCATGGTGTTTCACTAATAAAAATTTAAAAAAAAAAATCGACACCATCTTGGACCCAAGTATGTGCTCGGAGATCACAAGATTTCTTGCTCGACTCCTAGTTTCTTGCCGGGAAGGGCAAACGGGAGGACTTGGGACCTGGGCCACCATGCCCCACCCTGGGTCTGGTTGCCGCTGGCCGGAGCGGCCAGGAGTCAAGTGAGTTGGGCCAAGCTCAAAGTGTGTGACCCAATTCGGAGGCTGTTTAGTCACGCCACGTTTCTGTCCTCGGGAGCCGAGGGATGCAGACAGGAACTGCAGGGCCCACAGAGCGCCGAGGTCCTCGTGAGGAGCAGAAGTGCCTATACTGGCCAGACATCCCCGCAGGGGCCCCTACGCAGCCGCCCACCGGTTTCAACAGGAAGGCATTCGGGTGTGTCCATTTCATCCCTTCCTACACTGGCTTCTGGGTGACAAAATAAAAGACAACTCATCTGGGGGCAGGGCATCCCCACTGTGCTGACAGGGCGGGCCTGTGGTCAGGTATCGGGGTTCCATGACATGATGGTGCTGCCAGGGCCCAGAGACCCTGGGGGACCCCAGGGCCACACTCGGGAAGGGGGGGAATCTCACATGTGTCAGGCAATTCCTCCAGCCCCCAAGCAGAAAAGACCAAGTTTAAATCTTTATATTTTGGTTTTAGGATCATGCGCAACAATGCTTATAGGGGGCTTAACCCCAGCTCTGTGCTCTGGGATCATTCCTGGACAGTGCTCAGGGGACCATATCGGGTGCCAGGGACCCACAAGGGGTCAGCTACGTGTCAGGCAGGTGGCCGAACTACTGTACTATCTCTCCAGTTCCTAAATCTTTATTTTATTGCTACTAACATGCAATCTTTTTTTTTGGGGGGGGAGGGGTTGAGGCCACACACAGCAATGCTCAGGGGTTATTCCTGGTTCTGCACCACTCTGGAATGACTCCTAGAAGAACAGTACAAAATGTCAGGGGATTGATTCCATGCAAGACGAGTGCCCTATCCACTGTACTATCTCTCCAGAACCAATATGTAGTATTTTGTGAGCACTCCTTCTATGCAGCTGGCCTAAGTGCTATTTTATATGCACTATGCATTTGGATGTCTGGAGCAACAGCACAGCGATAGGGCGTTTGCCTTGCACGCAACCGGCCCAGTCGAGCCAGGTTCGATTCCTCCGCCCCCTCAGAGAGCCAAGCAAGCTACCGAGAATACCTCGCCCGCACGGCAAAGCCTGGCAAGCTACCCGTGACGTATTCGATATGCCAAACACAGTAACAATAAGTCTCACAATTTGTTGTGAGACATTACTGGTGCCCGGTCAAGCAAATCGATGAACAACAGGAGGACCGTGACCATGACTGTGATGCATTTGGATCTCATATATATACATACATGGTCACGGTCCTCCCATTGTTCATTGATTTGCTCGAGCGGGCCCAGTAACGTCTCCATCGTGAGACTTGTTGTTACTGTGTTTGGCATATCGAATACGTCACGGGGAGCTTGCCAGGCTCTGCCGTGCGGGCGAGATACTCTCGGTAGCTTGCTGGGCTCTCCGAGAGGGGCAGAGGAATCGAACTCGGGTCGGCCATGTTGGCCGCTTGCCGCTTGTAAGGCAAACACCCTACCCGCTGTGCTATCGCTCTAGCCCATATATATACATACACACACACACACACACACACACACACACACATATATTAAAATGGAGGTCTCCCGACCAGTGCTTCGAAGGTCTAGGGGTCACTCCCTGCTCTACCCAGCCCAGTGCTGTGGGTCTAGTGGGCTAGCAGTGCTCAGGGGTTATCGAGGCCACACCTCACAGTGCTCAGGGGGCCACACAGTCCTGGGACTGGAGCTTGGGGCTTCACATGGGCGAAGCCCACACCCCAGCTCTCCACGCCTCTCCCCTGCCCTAATGCATGTGAATCTCTGCAGAGTCACCATCCTCCTTGGGTAACATTGGAGGAAAAGGAGGCTCCAATTCATGGAAGGTCAGCAGAGGAGTGAGGATGCCATGCAGAACTGGGTCCAGCGCCTGCATCATTTACAGGGGTGATACTAGGCAGTGCTTGGGGTACCAGGCGGTGCCAGGACTCAAATCAGGGCCGGCCACATGCAAGGCAAGTGCCCACCTCCCCGGTCCCCAAAACTTACCCTCCCTTCCACGATGCAGTGAATCCCCCCAACTCACCCCACACCTGTCAGCAGAGCATCTCAGCCCGACGACCCCATCCAGAAGCAACCCGAAGGCGGCCTTACCCGTCGTGATCAAGTAGGCGTCGGGCACGGTGATGTCACACACATAGGGTGGCCGGGTGGTGAGCAGTGCCGGAGTGTCAACCATGGCTTCAGGACTGGGGGTGCTCACGGGACGGAGGGACGGCAGGGGGGACGCCGAGATGCTCCCGCGGGGATCCTCACTCATGGGTCTGTGGTTCGGGGCGGGGTCGGTGGTCACGTCGGGGGCGGCACTGGTCCTGGCCACACCCAGGTCTACAGAGTTGCTCCAGATGATGCGGGTAGGCATAGGCGACAGCCCCCCAAAGGTCGGCTCTGCAGGCGGGGGGGTGGGGCTCGCCTCGGAAACAAATGAGGGCCCGGCAGAGACCCAGAGCGTGGTGGGGACCACGGCAGAAAGGAAGGAGGTGGCGGGTGTGCGGGCGTCCTGCGCCCAGGGGCTGTCCTCAAAGGGGGCCGGGGTGGACACGAGAGGGGATGATGGCGGGGAGGTAGGTGCTGAGGCAGGGGTGGGCGCGGGTGAGGAGAGGTGCGTCTCGGGGGTCCCGGAGGTCAGATCGTCTAGGGTGGGTGTGGGGCTAGGGGGCGTCGGGCTGGGGCCAGCCAGCTCCGAGGAACGTGGAGGGAGTTGCTGGGACCAAGAGGAGGTCTCGGTGACCGCCCGGCTGGTGGGGGCTGCAGAGCCCGTGGTCCGTGGGACCTCCTGGGACCACGCGGTCCAAGGCGCCTCGGAAAATGGGGGAGAGACAGAGGGGCTGCTGGGGTGCGGGGACAGCGAGGCAGCCCCGGCAAGGAGGGATGGTGTGTCCAGTGCGGAACTTGGCCAGAGCCCAGGAGGGTCAGAGCTCCTGGAAGGGACCGCGGAGGGCAGAAGGGCCGAGTCGGACGCGAAAGGCGTCCCCCTCGGGGCGGAGAAGTCCCAGGCCAGGGAGGTGGCCACACGCCCTCCTGCCTCAGACGGAGACGCCACAAGGACCATCCCAGAGGTGGGGATGGGGCTGACGGGGCCCAGCGGCGGGGTGGAGAAGGCGCTGGAGGCCGCCTCCCAGGAGCCCCCCGTTTCCTGCGGGGTGGGGGCTGGATAGCCTGGCGGGGACTCTCGGGAAGGGCCCACGTCACCGGCCGAGACGGGGCCTGAGTCCCTGAGAGCCGGCCATGGCGTGATCGTGTATGGCGGGGACGGGACCGGGGCGGCCGGCCCCTCCGTCCAGACCCACGGGGGCGCGGTGACGGTGGCACTCGGTGACCAGGCTGGGGGGCTGGTGGCGACAGCAGAGGATCTGGGAGACAGGGGAGTGGATGGGGGGCCCTTGGCTGAACCCAGGTGGGTGGTGGGGACCTGGGTCAGGCCGCCCCCCGCGGAGCCCCGGATGCTGCTCTCGGGCGCTGGTACAGGTAGAGAGGGAAGGGCCACGAGGGGCCGGGAGGGGAAGAGTGTGTTGAAGCCCAGTGGCTCCTCCTCGGGGCCGTAGTCAGCGTCGGCGTCAGGGAAGTCAGTGGCGCTGTGGCTGGGCGTAGCGGGGCCAAGGCTGCCGGGTGGGGCCGGGGCTGGTGTCTCCGGCCCATCCCCCGAGCCCACATCCTTCTCGGCGATGCTGGCGGTGGGGCTGGGCCCAGGGGCCAGCCCGGGGCAGGACACACAGCGGGTCCAGGGGCTGTGCGCCGTGAGAGTTGTCACTGTGGGCTGCGCACCGTGCACAGGGCTCGGCGTGTCCACGGGGCCTGGCGTGTCCATGGGGCCCAGCGTGTCTGCGGGCTCAGGAGGCCACTGGGCCGCCGCCTCGTGGGCCCGGCTCGGGAGGAGAGGGTGCGGTGAGACCTCGGCCCACGGGGCTGACACGTCCACAAACGCGGGTGGGGTCGGGGACCAGACCCAGGCGGTGCTGAGAGGGGGGGCCGTGGGAGACAGGGGCGCCGAGGGGAAGGTTCCAGAAGAGAGGGTCTCGTGCAGACTCCCAAGGGCTGGGGGCCCTTGAGAGAGTCCGGCTACGCTTGTGGCCGGAGCAGCGTCCCCGGAGGAGGAGGTGGGGAACAGCCCTGGCGTCGCACTCGCCCCCGAGGGCAGGGGCCCGGGAGATGAGGCGGCCTCCGGGGGGCTTCCCACGGGGCTCGGTGTGAACGCTGAGCTTTCAGGCGCGGTCCTGCTAGGCGGGGGCACGTTGGCAGCCGTGGGGGACGGCACCGAGGCCCCCTGAGGACTTGGCACGGTGCCCTCAGATGCGGGACGTGCCGCCGCCCATGAGGGGGTACGGGAAGGCCGGGGAGCCTCGGCGGCGGTTGCCGGCCACTGGCCAGGGCTGGGCCAGGCCACCACCATGTCCTTCTCCTGCAGAGCTGTCTCGGGGAGAGCCGGTGTGAGCACAGAGTCCCCCGGGTCTCGGGGCTGGCCTGGGGGGCCGGCGGCAAGGGACGGGAGCGGAGAGGTGGGCCAGTGGGCGTCCGGCAAAAAGTTGTCCATGTCGTCCTCCTCGAGGGGCGCCTCGTCGCTGGCCGCCCAGACGCTGCGGCCCACTGCAGCCTGGATGCCGTCCTCAGGGCCCAACCAGGCGGTGTCTGAAGCGGGGGCCGCGGGAGAGGGGCTGGCTGGGGATCCCGGAGGCGCCAGTTCGGTTAAGGCCACAGGGGAGGCAGATCCGGGCACGGCGCTCATCTCTGGCGGAAACTGCAGGGGGGTCGTGGGCACCGGGTGAGTCTGGGCCAGGCCGGGCTCCTCTGCGAGAAGAAGGAAGCTGGGTTAATAGCAAGAAGTCGGGAAAGTGTGTGGAGAGAGAGGCATGAGGGTGCATCCCCACGGTGCTCACAACTGGAATTCCACACCTGCTACCAACCATGGGCCCCGTGAGCATCACTGGGTGCGGCCTAGAGGATCCCTGACACTGAGGGTCCTCGCACCCAGGCAGCAGCTCAGTTGGCCCAGAACGGCTGGGGGGACCCCAGGAAGCCCTGAGCACAGTTGGGAGCCCCTGTCTTTCCCAACCTACCCCTCCCCCAAAGAATGAAAGTGAAAGGAAACCCAAAGAGTGTCAGTCAGAGCTGGGAAGGCTTAGGATACTGGGATGATGACATCTTCAAAGTCGGTTTTACTGATTTCCAATAATAAAGAAGGCGAAAACATTGAGTAAGAGGCAGTGAAAAGGTGGCTAGAAAGATTTACAATAAAGGGGCTGGAGCAAAAGCAAAGCAGGTAGGGCATTTGCCTTGCACGGGGCTGACCCGGGTTCGATCCCCAGAATCTCATATGGTCCCCTGAGCACTGTCAGGGGTGATTCCTGAATGCAGAGCCAGGAGTAACCCCTGTGCATTGCCAGGTGTGACCCAAAAAGCAACAAATAAATAAAAATTTAAAAAATAATAAAAAAATAAAAACCAAAAGAACACTGGGGCCGGAGATGTGGTGGTCACCGGCCCTGCAGGCAGCCCACCCGGGTCTGATCCCCGGCACCCCACCAGGGCTCCGGGCCCCACCAGGAGAGACCCCTGATAGCAGAATAAACCCTGAAGACCACAGGATGTGTCCCCACCCCCACAAAGAACCGAACATTTAGAGTGGAAAACCGAGCCATTAAAGAGTTTTGGTTTCAAAATATAATGAACAATCTAGGCTCAATGAGAAGCAACCATTTAAGAGAGCTGAGCTGAGGTTTAGTGGAGTAAGGAATAAACAGACAATTACTCAGAATGGAGCGGAGGAAACAAGAGGACGGGAAATACAGACGCAGAGCGAGGCCGCCAGGCGTGCGGGATCCTGCTTTTACGAACGCGGTGAGGGCGGGGACAGGGCTTGGGGCCGGGGTGCCTGTCTCACGTGTTCCCAGGTTCCAACCCCAGCTCTGCCTAAATCAACCGTGAACGCTGGGATGGCAGGGACGGGAGAGAGAAAGCACAGGAATTTCCTCAAATCTGGGCCGGAGAGATAGCACAGTGGGTAGGGCACCTGCCTTGAACATGTCTGACCTGACCTGGGTTTGATCCCTGGCCCCCTATGTATGTGGTCCCCTGAACACCACCAGGAGAGATTCCTGAGTGCAGAGTCAAGAATATACCTTGAGTATCACAGAGTGTGCCCCGAAAACAATACGAAACAAATAAAAACATACTTTCCCTCCCAGTCATTTCACAGATCACCAAAGACAAAGAGAAACTGTAAAGGCCAACAGAGAAAAAGAATGGCCCCAGACCAGGAGATGACCATGACCCCAGAGGACAAAACAAACTAACAAACACTGCCCTCCCGTTGTTCATGGATTTGCTTGAGTGGGCCCAGTAACGTCTCCATTTTGAGACTTGTTGTTACTCTGTTTGGCATATTGAGTATGTCACGGGTAGCTTGCCAGGCTTTGCCGTGCAGGCAAGATACTCTCGGTAGCTTGCCGGGCTCTCCGAGAGGGGTGGAGGAATCGAACCCGGCTCCGCTGGGCTGGCTACGCACAAGGCAAATACCCTACCACTGTGCTATCGCTCCATCTCCAGAGGACAGTGAGGCAAAATGTCAATTGACCCTGAGATCTGGATGGTGGATGGCCAGTGAAACGGAAGATAGGTGACGAGGGCAATTCCAGATCTGAGCACCCCCCCCCCAAAAAAAAAGCCTCTGGACACAGAAAGAGGATCTGAGATCTGAGGTCAAGCAGTGTTGTTGGTATAAATCAGTTTAAGTCAGTGGCACCCAACCTTGTTTGGTCCACAGCCCCCTTTGCAGAAAGAAAGAAATATATAACCAGTGACCTCCTCTGGAGATCTACCTGCTTTAAATGAACGAGCTGAGGGGCCAGAGAGAAAGCAAGGAAGGGAAGACGTTTGCCTTGCACACGGCGGACCCAGGTGCGATTCCCGGCATCCCATACGGTCCCCCGAGCACCACTGGGAGTTCATTCCTGAGTGCAGAGCCAGCAGTAACCCCTGAGCATTGCTGGGTGTGACCCCAAAATAAAACAAGAAAGAAAATAAGCGAACAAACCAGACACACCCTCAACTGCACCCCAATCTACTGCTACCCCACTGGATTGTACCACAGCCCTGCCTGGGTTGGGGGGAGAGGCGGGTATCACCCATTTCTTGGAACCCCGGTATAAATGGACATTAATAAGACTAGGTAAGGCGTGAGGTTACTAAGGACACAAAAGAGAATTAAAGTAGCTTGTCACACAAACTAGGCGTCTGGAGGGCCACGTCTGGGCTTCTGTGAGCACCAGCACAGAAGGAAGTGGAGAGTTCAGACTAAACTCTGAGCGGGTCAGAGCCGTAGTACAGCAGGTAAGGCGTTTGCCTTGTACGCGGCTGACCCGGGTGGGTCTCCAGCATTCCATATGGTCCCCACGAAGAGTGATCCCTAAGCAGAGCCAAGAGTAAGCCCTGAGCACTGCCAGGTGCAGCCGGGGAAACTATTATATCAATAAAATCACTGTAGTCAGTTCCGTTAGTATTTCAAAGTTACAAGCTTACACCCGTTAAAAGTAGTTCACATTAATAAAGTAAAAAATAGGAGACTAACATCCAAGAATGGCCGAGATTAGTACCAGGAATTTTACTCCATGGCTTGGAGACCAACCACTCATGCTAGGGGAAAAGGCAGCTCAGATAAAGAAGGGAGCACCAAATAAAGGGTGCTGGGAAGATCCGCCCAGGATGGGAGATGCATGCTGAAAGTAGACTATAGACCAAACATGACTGTCACCCATTGCCTCTTTTACAAACCATAACACCCAATAAGAGCGAGAGAACAAAAGGGAATGCCCTGCCACAAAGGCAGGGTGGGATGGGGGATGGGGGTGGGAGGGATACTGGGATCCATGGTGGTGGGAAATGGGCACTGGTGGAGGGATCGGTATTTGATCATTGTATGATTGAAGCCCAAGCGCAAAAATTTGTAAGTCTACAACTGTACCTCATGATGTCTCACTGATAAATTTTTCATTTCATTTCATTTCACCATCCTGTTATTCGTCGATTGCCTCGAGCAGGCCCCAGTAACGTCTCTTTCATCCTAGCCCTGAGATTATATTCAGGGCTATTTAGGAGAATGAGACCCATCATTGTTACTGGTATCTGGCATATTTGGTACGCCACGGGGAGTTTGCCAGACTCTGCCCTGTGGGCAGGCTACATTCGATAGCCTGCAAGTTTTAATTAAATAAATTAATTAAAAAAAAAAAGATAGAGAAGGGAGCACCAAATAAAAGGTGTTGTGAGGATCCTCCCAGGATGGGAGATGCATGCTAAAAGTAGACTATAGACGGAACATGATTGCCACTCGATGCCTCTTTTGCAAACCACAGCACCCAAAAGGAGAGAGAGAACAAAAGGGAATGCCCTGCCACATGGGTGGGGTGGGATGAGAGGATGGAGGGGGGGAGGGATACTGGGAGCACTGGAGATGGAGCATGGGCACTGGTGGAGGGATGGGTACTCAATCGTTGTATAACTAAAACCCAAGCACAAAAAATTGTGTACCACATGGTGTTTCACTAATAAAAATAATTAAAAAAAAAATTTTAAAATTTTTAAAAAGTAGTTCACATTAAAGCCACCCCCTTCCTTCATGCAGGATACTAATGAGACAGGCTCTCGACCACCAGGCCTCCTTCTGGGCCAGAAGCTGCTTGTGTGGGGGCCAGAGAGAGAGTAGCAGAGGGGCAAGACATTTGCCTTACATACGGCCAAGCCTCGCTCAAATCCCCAGCACCCCACAAGGTCCCCTGAGCACCGCCAGGAGTGGTGGCTGAACACAGAGCTAGGAGTCAGCCCTGAGTACAGCCAAGTGTGAACTAAAAAACAAAATGCTGCTTATTTTATCATTAGTGGGTGGACGGGGCAGGGGGTGGTACCTGTCCTGTCCTGTCCTCCCGTTGTTCTTCAATTTGCTTGAGCGGGCCCAGTAACGTCTCCATTTTGAGACTTGCTGTTACTGTGTTTGGCATATTGAATACTCTCGGTAGCTTGCCGGGCTCACAGAGAGGGGTGGAGGAATCAAACCCGGCTCGGCCGGGATGGCTGCATGCAAGGCAAACGCCCTATGGCCGTGCTATCACTCCAAGTAATATTACCTAGAGACTGTAACGATAGTACAGCGGGAAGGGTGTTTATCTTGCATGTGGCCAATCTAGGTTCCATCCCCAGCACCCCATATGTCCACCGAGCACCGCCAAGAGTGATTAAAGAGTGCAGAACCAGGAGTGACCTCTAAGTACAGTCAGGTGTACCCCCCCCCCAAAAAAAGTCAGAGAGGTAAAAATTTAAGACATCATAAAAATCAACATTTTCCCAATCATATAGCATATGGGCCGAAGCAATAGTACAGCAGGTAGAGCATTTGCCTTGCACACGGCCGACCCGGGTTCGATTCCTCTCTCCCTCTCGGAGAGCCTGGAAAGCTACCGAGAGTATCCCACCTGCACAGCAGAGCCTGGCAAACTCCCCTTGGCATATTCGATATGCCAAAAAAAAAGTAACAACAAGTCTCACAATGGAGACGTTACTGGTTCCCGCTCGAGCAAATCGATGAACAATGGGAGGACAGTGCTACAGTGCTATGTAGCATATAGACTTGACAGTGCTCCCTCCTAAGGATAAATTAGTCTACGAATCTTTTTTTTAAACTCTGCTATTATTTAATCTGAAATACATGACCTGAATGGAAGTGTGGCTCCATTTTTTTCCTTTCTAACAGAGAGAGGGCAGCTTGCAGCACGTGAGGCTACGCTCAGGGATCACGC